AAAAAAAAGGTTCCCTATCCCCATGCTCATTCAAGGATAAACTCTTCCTCACAGAGATGAGACCACCAGTGAGGATGGGCACATACAGGGACCAGATTTAAATATTACTTCCTTATCTCCATTCCTACCTCCCAACTCATAATGATACTCCCTTCTCTTCAGAGTTTCAGTTTATCTGTTCCATCTCATTTTTTTTTAATTTGGTTAGACAATGGGGTTAAGTGACTTGCTCAGGGTCACACAACTAGTAAGTGTTATGTGTCTGAAGGTGGATTTGAACTCAGGTCCTCCTGAACCCAGGGCCGGGGCTGTATCCACTGCACCACCTAGCTGACCCCCTCATTTGATTTGAGTAAGTACCTGATTTGCTCAAGGCACTCTTCTAAGCACAGGGGTGACCATACTAAGCTTTGGTGCACTTTCTTCTTTTGTATTCTTGCTATTGGAAAGAAAGGAAAAATACAAAATGGCTTTCAGTCCTGTGCGGCCCCTCTTCTACTTTTCCAGTGATAAAGAAAGACTGTCCTAGGGCTGACATAGTTTTAGACTGTATATAAATATTAACTTAACTCATGGTATTATAAATATAAGATCTTTTGCCTAATGACCAAAATGTGGACATAACATTGGAGGAAACAAGTCATATCCATATTGAAATTCTTGCTATTAATGTGTAGGAAGACAGCCAGTTATTTTGTTAGCTCAAGGGGCTTTGCAGCTGAAAAATAACCACAATAAAGGCAGGAGTTTTGTCGAGGCGGGTGAAGAACAGTGACCCTGTTTCCTTAGTTTACTTTTTGTTCTAGCTCAAATTAATTCACCTGTTAAACCAGAAAGGATTTGGGGGAAAGTTTAACCCTAAATTTAATAGTTATGTATAACCTAAGGCCAATATCTGCCTCTAGGTACAAAAGAATCAAAGGGAAAAAAAAAACCTTTTCTTATTTTGAGGGCATCCTGTTTGGCTTTTGTTAGCTGGGTGTTGTATCTATGAATAAAGAACTCTGATCCTGCTCTTACTGGGGAAATATTCTAATCACTATACCTAAGCTGACAGGAAGCTGACATAGCCTCCAGGAAACCCTGAAAAGGCAAAGCCCAGAAGGTAATATAGGGAACAACGTTATGAGACCTCATGCCAAGAAGCCTCCATGAGACCATCTGAAACCATCAAAACAGCACCTAGCAGAGACTGAGACTAGAAGAGTAACACCCAACAGAGTGACTAGCAGCCACAGCAGTCTCCATAAGCTCAACATAGAAGAAGAGAGAATGACGCATGCAGTGGAAACCACAAACCCTTTAGGATGCAGGCCCAATGAGAGCAGCACTGGAAGGCATAGGTGCCTCAGTAGCATTGGAGTCATGAACAGCTTTTCCACAAGAGTGAACTAGTCATACATGTTTCTATATGTGTACCCCACATTCATTGTCCCATTTCCTCTTGATGATGTGTTTATTTATGGGAAGCCCTCTGAGATTTGAGGGCATCTAGTTCTATTAAAATTTTGTTTCACTGTATTTTGTTTTTTATGAAATGGTTTTGCTTTGAATTGTGTCCTGCAGTTGACTAGAGGGGGGAAAAGACACCTTGATTGGGGTTTTTGAGCTATGATTTTGAGGACAGGCCTAAAAAGTACCTTGAACCTGGAGTACTTATTCTGGAAGCCCTTTATATAAGAGCCAAGAAGAAAAAACTAAAGAACCAGAAGACAAAAAGGAATAACTAAATAGAAGGATGGGATGCAAAAAAGGAATTGGCAGAGTTAATTTTTTACCATGTATCCTAGGATAATCAGAAAGATTATTTGTGGGACATTTGGTCACTTCATATTGCAGTTCTCATGATAAGTATATGTAAACAGAAAATTATGAAGCTAACTGTGTTTCATGTATCCTGTGTTGCAGAAGATGAAGAAGTAGAAAAATCTATGAAAATTTGATTAAGAGCTATGAAATTGATCAATAGAAATGCAATTTTGAAGACTTTAGTTCACCAGGTACTTCAATACTTTGTCTCTTCAATGAAGATGTGAGCATAGGGGAAGCTAAGCAATACAAGAATTAAAGTACTGGGCCTGGAATCAGGAAGACTTGAGTTCAAATTATGCCTCATATACTTACTAGCTGTGTGACCCTGGGTAAGTCACTTGCTATCTGCCTCAGTTTCTCAATAGTAAATGGGAAGAATAATAACACTTATCTCCCAGGGTTGTTGTGAGGATCAAATGAGATATTTGTGAAACACTTAGCAAAGTGCCTTGAATACAGTAGGTACATAATAAATGCTAGCTATAATTTTTGCAAAAATGTGCTGAAAAATATAATTAAAAAGTTTGATCAGATAATTAGCTTTGAGGGTAAATACTTAAGTCATTTGTCATTTTGTTTGGATGGGCTCTACCCCACTATTAAAATTACACTAGGACTTAGTGGGTCTTTGAGAAATGCTGTAGCTGAAAAAGTCATCACTTTGTAACAAACCTGATTGTAAGCTTCTCTGAGCTTGGCTGGTTTTTATACCATAAGGTCCATTACCCAGTCCATACATGAAACATTTACAGCTTGGTAGGACCTGGCAAAGCTTCAATTTTGGTAATAAAATTCTGGCCTTGAGGATCAGCTCCACACCATGATGAGGTATCAGAATCAGACTTTGGGGGGGGGGGATAATTCATAAATTTGCTTATCATTCTTTCCTACTAAAGGATATTAGTTTACCCACACAAGCACAGTAATATCTTTTACGACACAGATATAGTGCTTATCATATTGCCTTACAAATCATGGATATTCAATACAAGTTTGCTGAATTAATGTCTTCAGGATGAATTATTTTCACAATATAAGCTGGGAAAACTTACAAGATTCTAGAATGGAAAGCAAAGTTGATAGAGATGACACACCTTTGTCTTCCTGACAGATACAGGTTCTTTATGTCCTATTCCCTCTAACAATTGCCTGTCACAGGAGAAAATGTTGCTATTTGAAAAATAGGAATTATTATTTCAGTAAAATTAGATGATACTATAATCACATTCTCCAATAAAATTCAATATATTAGCTTTGTCTAACTAATAGAAGAGTGTATTCTTTAGATTATTTTTATTTAGGTGCTATTTCATTTTAATGATTTAAAAGTTAATAATATAAAGAAGGAATCTGTATAGTATTTACATATTTTATTTATCTATTTGGACAGCAAAAACTTTCATGAACTAAAACCCAATTGAATTCAACAAAATTTACTAAGAACCTACTATATATGTTGGGTGAAAAATGTATACCTCTTTGATAGAGCTGTGATCGCACTGATGCATGTACTCCCACCAATCTTGGACTACCATTGTCCATGCACTAGCGCCTCAGGTGTGAGGGCTCACCAAGCTCTTTTCAGGGCTACTCATCCACCTATGGTGTCCACCTTCACTCAACTTTCACCTGTGGTTCTGTGAAGCTGTAGCATGTGTAGCGGCCATACCCTAAAGCAGGTTGAGAGTAACCAACAGGCCTCAAAACCATCAGTGAAGTAGGGGAATATCTACCCCACACATGTGAAGACTTTCCCCATCAGAATGCGCAAATAAGAACAATTTGTTCCAGTAGGAACTGTGGATTCCTTAGGGCTTGGTCAGACATCAAAGACCTGGCCAGTCGTCTTGACTTTTGTCCTACCACTGGACTTTGATGACTCAGGAGGAGAGAGTGAGGCAGACATCTTTATGCAGCTCTGCCTCACTTAAATCCATTTCACCTACAAGTCAAGACGTCACCCATGATATAATTTGTCCTCTTTGAAAAGAAAGGACGAAGAACAACAAGGACAACAACCATTGTCCATGACAAATAGACAAATTGACATAATATAAGATAGAGTATAATGATGGTAAAACAGAAATCCAGACAAACTGTTTTACTAAATGAAGAAGGATTATACATTTTTCATTGGAGGATCAGGAAAGGCTTTAGAGGAAAGATAGTGCTTGAGCTCAACCTTGAAGGAATAGGATTCTGTAACATAGGGTTGAGTAGAGAAAGAGTGCTATCCACACATGCAGAACAATACCAATGTGGGGAGGCAGCACATGACTTATTTAGTTCAGAGAATGTCCAGGTGCATATTCACTTTATCTGGAATATAGTATATAAAGGTGGCTGTGAAATAAAACTGAGAATGTAAGTTGGAGTTAAGCCTTAAGAAGGTATTAAATGCCAAAATAAACACATAATAACACATAAACACTCTTAAATTCAGGTAAACTAAGGCAGATGGAGAGTAGCTGAGGCAAAAAAAGAATAGAGTGCAAAAACCTTAGTATCGTATAGCATTAGCGGTAGTAATAGCTGACATTTATAAAGGGCTTAGTACTTTACATTGCTAGATCATACAGATCATCTAGTTCAACTTCCTCATTTTATGGAAGAAGAAACTATGATTTACCCTACCCACACATAAAATTAGCGGCAGAACCAGGAATAGCTCCCAGGTCTCTTGAATGGTTCACTGTTCTTTCTAATACACCATACCAAAAAGACAGAAGACAAGAAAAGAAGCTATCATTAGGGGTTAAAAAATAACAACAAGTTAACTACCATGGTATCTCCTGGTATGAGTTTAGAGGTATATTTGTTCTTTCTAAATCTACTGTATAGTACACAATCTACTGTATTGCACACATTAATCACGTTAACGATCTGAAGCCTTGTATCATCCTAGATCATTAAAGAAAAATTCAGTTATATTCAGTAGGGAAGGGAAGTGTAGTACTACTTTTAGAAAGATGACTCTTCCACAGCAAAGCTTAAAAGAAAAAGAGAGTCTATAGGATTCATCCTGATTTATATCTGAAAGACCACATCCCTAGACCATATTGATCAATCAAAATTTTATTTTATTGTAACTTTAGTTACTAAGTATCAATGGATACTTTTCTTTTAAAGAAAAGAATATCATATTTAACTAAGAATAGTCTGGCATATATCTTTAAATTTGGAAAGAAGGTTATTATAGGACGAATCATAATTCTTGGTCCATCTCCACTTGGATAAAAACATGATGAGATGTTTGTTGATCCTATCAAAAACCAAAGTTAGCAACTGATTTTTAATTCAAACAGCCATAGAAAAGGGGGAAAATATTTTTTGAAAATATTGCTAGCCCTCACACTCATCCCTTATAAGAAGAAATTTGAAAGAGAAAAAAAAAACAGCTCAGTAAAACTGATTAACCAAAACAAAATTTGTATTTTAAGTGTTATTCTACATCCATAGTCCTACACCTCTGCAAAGAACAGTGGGTTCTATTCTGGTTTCTCTTTCTTGAGTCTAAGGTTGGTTATTATGATTTCAAAGCATTCAGTTTTGGTTTTATTGGTGGTGTTGGTCTTTCCCCATTAACACTATTGTAGTTATTGTGTTCACTTTATACTTAGTTTGTAGAACTTTTCCCATGCTTGTCTTTATTCATATTCATTGTTTCTCTAATCACAATAATATTCCATAACATTCAGGGACCTTAGTTTGTTTAATCATTTACTAATCAATGTGCATTTACTTTTTTCCAATTCTTTGCTACAAATGTTATTCCATTTCACTCTATTTCATTAAAATTATTTGTATCAGGAAGCTAAGCTGAGTCGGAACACACAAAAAAACTAATAGATTTATTTTTTATGATAGGATACAAAAAGAAATGATAATTTTTGCTTTCTTGACTGAAACAAATTCTACCTATAGGCTATAAAGACTCATGCTTAGAGTGCAATGAAAATGGGTTAAAACTATTGCAGAGGATAAAAAAATTTAAGATGACAAGAGAGAAAAGCTAAGAATCTAGTAATGAGGAAGTTAGAAGTAGATGCAAACATGTTGGTAGTTTATCTGGAACAGCTAAGGTCCATTTCACTTTTTCAGTAGTACAGTAAAGGGACCTTATTCATATGCACACAACTTTTAGTATTTTATAACTGACTGCTTATACATTCAAGCATCATATATATGTATATATAAATATATATGTGTGTATATATAAATATACATACATATATATATGTATGTATTTCACCCACCAGATAAATCCACTTTTCAGATCAAAACAGACCTGTCCAAAATGGAACAGGTTACTTAGGGAGGTAAAGAACTTCTCCTAACTAAAGGTCTTTAAGAGGAGTCCTGGTGATTACTTGTCAGAATAGACAAGTAGGGGGATCCCAGTACCTGAATTGGGTTAGACCACACCTTTAAGGTCCCTTCCAACCCTGAGATTTTATAATTCTGTGAGATAAAGTATGTGAAGTTTCTTTGTAAATAGAAAGAACTATATAAATGCAAAGAATAATAAATAACCTTTAAAGCTGTAAACTCTTTTTGGGTAGGGGTTGTTTCATTCATTGTGTTTATTACTAATAATGATAATACTAACTAGCATTTACCTACCATTAACTGAACAGTTTTTTGCAAAGGTTATGTTCAGATACTGTTAACCCCATTTTCTCATATGTAAAATGGGGATAACAATAGCACCTACCTCCCAGGGCTCTTGGGAGGGAAGACGTAAAGCGCTTAGCACAGTGTAAAATTGAGGGACCGAGAGGCTAAGTGACTTGTCCACCTAGTGTCACAGGGTCAGTAAACAACAGAGATTTGAACCCAGGTCTTCCTGGCCAGCGTTCTCTTCATCAGACCACAGTGACCCTCTTGTAAGCTACTGTTATTAAATGGCATTCCCTTGGTTTCAAGTCTCTTAAACGGCCTTCCCTTTTCTTTGTTTCATGACAAAACATTCACGCCTAACGGCTGGGTGTCAGGCACGCACAACCGAGGCCACGAGCAGCCCCAAACACAAACAAGCTGACGCGGCCTCGCTCACTGACACCCGCCCTCCGCCCAGTGTTCCAACCTGTGAGCCCCGTCCCCCCCAAACAGCTGGCTTCCCCCAGACTCCCCGCCCCCGGACGCTTGGGGGCGGGCACTCAGGGCCCTTCCGCCCCACGCAGACGCCGGAACAAATGCAGCGCCCTTCTCCCCGCCCCCCGATCCCTTCTCCGGAATGTGATTGGTTGACTGCCCGGAGACTATTAACGGCTGTGAAGTTTGAAAATCCAAAAGAGGCACTAGAGCCAGAGGTGCAGACGCGTAGGGAGGCCGGGGCGCTGCTGCCGGTGTTGGGGCCTCTGCTTGGGCGTAGGAGCCCCGGGACAGGTAAGCGAGCTGCGGCAGGGGCCGCGGCCGTCAGAGGAGCATCCTCCCCTCCGTCCCAAGGGCACGGCCAGGCCCTGGGTGGTGGCGCCTCCTGGGCCGCCCCGGTCCCGGTGCTCCCTCGCCGCCCTCCCTTGTTGCTCGCGGGCCTCCTTCCTCCGGCATGGGTACGGGGGCAGGTCACTTGCAGCGGCTGACCTCGCATCTCCACCCCTCTTCTGCCGGCCCCAGGGGGGAGATGAGAGCGGAGGATGCCAGGTAGCTGCTGCTAACGGGCCCGGTGCGCTGGGGAGCAAAGCTCCTATTCGTGAAATAGTGGAGCCCGAAACGTTGGAGCGTCAGATCTGGAGTGGGAGGACTTGGCCTCGAACCCCGGACCCAGTAGTTAGGAGCTGGGGTTAGTGCTTACAGGCCATTCAGCCTCCCTGAGCTGCTCAAAGCGGGGTAACACGTACATTCCTTCAGAATTGTTGTGAGAGGATGGTGCTTAGTAAAACTGAGTCTCATATAAATGTGAGAGGCAGTGTAGGGCAGTGGATATAGAAGAAGGCAGGGGTTCAACAGGGAGTGACCCCCTGGAAAGACCCTTAAGTCCTCCCAGTGCTCCAGGAAGCTCTCCAAGACACCAGTTTGAGAGGGATCTGTCTGTGTTGGGTGGAGAGCGCTTCTACACAGGGGTGAACCCCACCGTTAAAATTGCTGGTCTTGATCCCCTCGCCCCAAAAGTAATTCTTGTGACATATGAATAGATTGAAGCTCAAGGAGGGGAAATGACATGACCATGGCTTGCACACCCATAACCACTTAAATGGCAGACTTGAAACTAATATCCTAGTTAATCAATTCACAGTCCAGTAGGTTTACCATCAGAAATCACTGAAATTAATGGATACTTCTTTGGCATTTAAGTTCCGTGAGGACCCAGGATCACATATCACAGAATCGTGTCTAGTGTTGTTAGTGCTTCATAAATGCAAATCGTATCAATAATTAGGCAAATAGACATATTGACAGATTGTGATTAAGTGATTTATTCGTATTTAGCAATAACAATGTTGAATTGAATCTGTACATCAGATTTACACAAAGAATTGGGAATTTGGAGAGCTGGGTTCAGCCTCTGTCACTAAATAGCTAAGTGATCTTGGGTAGCTCATTTCTTTAGACCTCTGTTTCTACATTGTAAAATGTATATGGAATACACCATTTGTAAAGTCCTGTTTGAACTGTGAAATTCACAGTCTTTGATGTCCAAATGCAAGTCCAAAGATGACTTGCTATTAATGATTAGGTTTGAAAAGCTACCTACTTCCTGCTAGCACATCAGCATTAAAACCTGATAAGTGATTCCTAATCTTGGAGTTGTGACATCCTCTAATTATTTGATTTCTGGTTAGTGTCTTCACTTTCTAAAAGTAATATATGACATGGTTTTTTTTTTTTAAGTTACAAAGTTAAAAACATTTTTTGGTGGGCTTTTGTATAATTTTGTGACATCCTTGAGATAACCACAACAAGGCAGTGATGGAGGTGGCTGTTGGGGGATGATTACTGTAGGTAGCTTTTATTAGAAATTTGGCTATGAAAAAGGAAGATGATCCCTTGAAGGGATACCAGGGCCAAGTGAAGATTTCTTAAATATAGGGACAATCTGTACAAATTTGTAAGCATCTGGGAAAGAGCTGACCAAGAGAGACTGAAGAATAGAAACAGAGATGATTGAAGGGATGGACCCCTGTACAACACAGGAAAGGATGGGATCAAAAGCACAAATAGAGGAATTGGCTTTCTCAGAAGATTACTTTTTCTTCTGATACTGTAGGAAGGAAAAGAGAATGGTGGATCATGATGAGGGGAATTTGAGGTATAGAAATGGGAAGCTCATATTTTCTTGGTAAAATATGGGGTAAGGCCCTTTGTTGAGGGAAGAAAGAAGAATGGTGTAGGTGGCTTGAAGAGAGAAGACAAGGCTTGGAGCAGCAGGTATGAGGAATATGATAGGGAGTCAATTAAAGGACTGGTTAGATCAGCAAAGGCACTGTTGAGATTAGATAATAAAAATATTAAGAGTACTGAAGTTTTGTGGTTTCCTCCATTGGTATTCAATAGCATTTGAGGATGCAAGAAGGTAGCTGTTGGGAGGTAATCCTGGGTTGGGGTTTGGAAAGACTTACCTTACCTAGTGCAACTCACTCTTTGGACTGTTATATTTCCTGTTATACTGTTATACTGTTTATATAGTTCTTCAGCTACCTTGCCCTCCCAGGTGTGACTCGAAGGTCTGCTCTCCGACTGGTGAGTCCTTGCCCTGGATCTCCATTTCTTAAGAATCTCTTCCCCTTTCTTGTTCTTTTTTATGTTTTGACTACCTCTTAGAATGTGGGTTCCTAGAGAGTAGGGACCATTATATTTTTTTTATATCTTCAGTGATTACCTCAGGGGGTCCTGGCACATAGTAGGCACTTGATAAATGCTCTATCTCTCTATTAAATCAACTTCATTTTTTACTGCCTTTTACTTATTCATTTGCTGCTGGGTGATCTAACCTGACAATTTAGACTTAGGGACTGTGGTAACAACCTGTATACTAAAACTTTTTTCTTTATTTTTGACTAGAGCTTTTCTTCATGAGATTATGTGAAAGTTCTCTTAAAGGTTTAAATTTAAATTATATTTTAAAATATAATTAGTCCTATAACATAGCCCTAATATCTTCCAGGTTCCCCCCCCCCCACCTCTTAAAATGAATTAGGCCAATTTTCCCTAAAAGGCAACAAAGCCAAGACTTGTCTAAGGGCAGGGCTCAAGTTATATCTGTCTTGATAAAGCTTCCTGGTGACTTTTGGCTGTTGACATGCCTTTTTGGTCATCTAGAGGCATAAAAGATCCCATCCTTTTATGAAGGGTGGTATCCTTAACGCTTAGTGGATGTCTGAAGACCATATGTGAGTCACTACATCCTGTTCTGCTGACAAGACACATTTTCATATGGAGATCTAGAGGGTCCCTGTCTCCTCTAGCTAAGTGCTACTGTATATCCTTGCTTGGTGTTTGGTGTAAGTAAACCTCTTAAGTTAACTGTTCATTAACCTATTTGAGTGCCTCAATTTCCTCCCAACATCAAACCTGAACTACCAGGGAGATGACATCAGGTAAACAAAGTATAAAAATTAATTTTGGAGGGGACCAATCTTGCCTTTATTCCCTTCCATTTTTAGCCACCAACAGTGCAATGTTTGCTTCAGAAATGGAGGATCTACACACTTCTGCAACTTCCTTATTTTTCACTCAGAGAATTAAGAGACATGTAAAGGACAAGAAATCTTCAAGAGTCAATAAGTTGAATACTTCTCTTGCATCAAAAATAAAAAACAAAATAATAAGTAAGTTCATTGATTCTTACATCAGCGATTAAAAATAAAATGTTAGTAATGTTTAAATGTAAACAAGTTGTTGTTTTCACCACCATTCATCCAACTACTTAACATAATTTTTCCCTTATTTTGAGAAGTACAAAATGCTCTTAAAATGTATATATGTGTATGTATATGTTTGTTTTTTATTCATACTCCTTAAACCATTTTTTCATTTCTCCCAGCCTTGCTTAGTAGAATTTGCGTGATACGTTGTCTATGGTAGGAAAAGGGGAGTTATCAACAATAAAACAGATACCTAGAGTGTCTTAGAGTAACCATGCCCAACACTGAAAAATAATTCAAGGTCAGTTTTAAAGGAGGAATTGGCATCACTTCAAAAGCAGACTGCCTCTTTTCATCTGACAAGCATGTATTTGAGGGTAATTCTGGAACCTGCATTTCTTCAGAAGAAAGCAGGCCTAAATGGAGCACAGCAGTACTAGATGCATTTAGCATGAGGTCCATGGGAGTTTTGGCGACAGGAGAAAAGAGATGGTGTTGATTGGGAGTTAGGAAGGGTCCAAAAGCAAATTTTGACTATTCAACACTTTTGATTCCAATTTTGCCTGCCAAATGGAAGGCCTTTGAATTTGCTTTCCAGTCCTGGTGGAAATAGTTTTCTCCAAGTGACAATGAAACTCATTTCCATAGGTTGCTTAATGTCTGTTCTAGGAGCTGAGGGAAAGTATCCTGAGAGCATCCACGCCTTGGCTCCTATCATAGCCTTCAACTGTGGTGAATGTGAAGCAAATTTTGCATTGGTAGTCTGTTAATGACAGATGACACTGCCCCTTATTGCGTTCAAAAGAGTTTCATGTTACTAAATCACTCCAGCCCTAGATAGGTTTATTTGAACCCAGATAGCTTTGTGGAACAACGGGAGTTGTACTATGATGTAGTAGAAAGGATGCTGAATGTCAAGTTCAGATTCTGCCTCCTGAGGTATGACCAGGAACAGCTCACTTCACTTCTCAGAGCCTTAGTTACCTTATCCTTAAATGGCAGATGATCCATCCTTTCACTCCTGCTTTATGCTAGTATTGTGAAGAAAGTAATCTATAAGCCTAAAAGTACTATAGAAATATGAATTATTATTAGGAATTTGAAGGATGCCACTGGAAAAATAGCCCATTCTGACTTCCAGTAATTCTAGATCACCTTCTCTGTTGTCCTTGTCATCTTTGTCTTCCAAGTATTAGCTTTTCTGGAGCCTCTTTTAGATGCCTATTGACTACAACTTCCAAGATGGCTCTAGAAAACTCATCTAAGTTCCCTAGTGTTTTTCACAGGCTTGCTCAATTTTCATGGGATGTCTCAGTTTAGACCTGATTTTCTTTATAAAAATTAGATTTATCTACCATGTAACTCATCTTAAATAATTTATTCTTGAATAGTTGCCTATAGATAAGAAATCGTAAATCTAGTTATATTTTAAATTTATTAGAGCAGTGCAATTTCAGGGAAACTTTATAAAGGATTCATACTAGTAAAACAATCCTTCTAAAATATTTCAGAATTTATTTAGAATACGACTAGTCACTGTAAGTGATGAGTTCAAGTTTAGATTGCCATGAATGCCTAGAAATAACTGCTAAGGCGATTTGTTTGGTGAAGGTGAAGTATCCAATTGGTTTTAGACAGTCTGCCAACTTTGAAGTGAGTACTCAAAGCTCATCTCCTTACCTATTAGCAGCATAACCATTTAATTTAATTTTAAAAGCCAATTTACTTTGGATTTCCAGTTTGATTATCCTAATCCTGTGAAATAACAACTCTTCCTCACTTTTGCTTATTGTACCCTCTCCCCCCAAACTATATGGAAGTAACCATACTTCTTCACATTGGTGATTTGGAAACAAAAGCAGGTAATTCCATTATTGGAAAAATTGTCCTATATGTGATCTATATTTCTGAATTACTGCACATGAAGTCTTATCTTCTGGTGCCTCTGTTCTGTCTTCAGATACATTCTTTTTTTTTTTTTTTTTTTTTTTTTGTTCAGATACATTCTTTATCCCCCTTGATGCTAACACCTTCCCCTGTGGATTATCTCCAAATTATCCTGTATATGTCTTTTTTTGTACATAGTCTTTTGCATGTTGTCTTCTGCCATTAGACTTTGAGCTCCTTGACAACAGAATGGTTCAGAATTTTTTTTTTTTGCCTTTCTTTGTTGATATTCAGACCTCTGTTCTTGAGAGAAATTTTCTCAACCCATTCAGTGATCCATTTGGTTTTGCTCTTAGGCTTCACCTGTAGGCTGCCTTTTCTAATTCATACAGTTACCTCCTGATTACCCTCTCTTCTTCACACTTAAATCAGACATAAATGGAAATAGTTTTCAGCTAAGGCAGAAATATATGAAAGAAATGCATCTCAAAGAATAACGTATTAACTGTTTTCTTCTCTCTTTGCATAGACAATTCTTCGATCATTAAGATTTCTTTAAAACATAACAACAGGGCATTGGCTCAGGCTCTGAGTATAGAAAAAGAAAATTCTCGAAAACTTACAACTGAAAAAATGATGTTGCACAAAGAAGTGGAGAAATTGAGTTTTCGAAATGCTTTTCTTCGTCAAAAGCTAAATCATCTGGTACGGTGTCTAAGTTTATGTGGTTGTTTAAAACCTTTCACCTGGATTTTTGTAGACATGAAAGAAAAAATGTGAAAAGCATCTAAGAATGTTGTAGAAATTCCTTACTATAGATTATTGAAATTTATGATGCCATGATAGTTATAAGAAAAGGGAGAAAGTTGCTATATAGATTTCTTTTAATTTTACATGTTATAAATATATTCACCATAGATTGCCATAAATTTGCCATAATCTTTGTGATGGATTATCATCGTCAACATTTGACTATCTAGGGTAACAATATTCTTTCCTAAGGCTGTAAAGAATTTGAAAGAGAAATCTTAGTCCAGTTTAATCAATGTGGGAAGGAAGGAGAATTCCCAGACTATTATTTAATATTCCTCTGGGTACAAATCACATCCCCACTCTTCACTCCCTCCCCCCCAATATTGATGGAATTTGTTTTGGGGAGTATTTTGGAAAGACTCATGACTAAAAACAAAAGAAAATTTAATTAAACTGAACTCCCACATGAGGAAGCTTCCTCTGCTAATGCAGATTGGCATTCTCTCTGCAACTTAGAGTCATAGAAAAGTGTCTGAAGTTTAATTTTACACATTTTAGACTTGTGGGTCACTAACTCTATTTACTGTCCTCTGATACTTATTGTCATGATATGATGGAAGAAAGGCTGTTGAATAGTTTATGGTTTCCCTCTCTCTAAAGCTATTTTTGTGTAATGAGCATTGAACTTGTAGTAAGGAGACTCAGGTTTAAATCTAGGCTCTTAAACCTGATGGTTATGTGAGCATGGACAAGTTGCTTGGGCCTCAGTTTCCTTATCTGCAAAATAGGAATAACGATTCACCTACCTCACAGGGTTATGAGAAACTTTGTAAACTCTGCTCTGGAATCATAAGACCTGTTAAAATGCCACCAATGACATGTATTAACCAGTGTGACCTTGAATAATCACTTAATTTCTGTGGCCTTCAGTTTCCTCATCTCTAAAATGAGGAGATTGGACTAGATGGACTTTGAGGCCCCTGGAGGCTCTCTGTCTATGAACCTTAAGAATAGTTTTAGGGATTGAAGCTGTGATTTCATTGATAAAGGGAACTTCCAGATGAGGAAGCTCCCTTTTTCAGTGCTGGTTGGCACCTTTTCCACAACTTAGAGTCTTAGAGAATTGCCTAGAGTTCTGAGAAGTTAAGTGTCTTGCCCAGGGTCACGGGCAGTTTGTGTCAGAAGGAGGGCTTGAACCCAACTCTTCCTGATTAGAGGCCAGCTCTTTACTTGCTGCACCAGTGGTGTCAAACTCAAAAACAGATCCACATGGCCACAGATTGACTTAGAAAACTACAAGTTAACATCATCTCTGTTATGTTGTATTTTTATTTATGTGAGTTTGACACTTTTGCACTACACCATGCTGCCTCTGTTGGTCCTGAAAATGCTGTAATAATGTTAGTTGTTAATATTTCATCCTGTGTTAATGTTTTTCACACTAAACAAACAGTGCATGACATTAAAAATAATTCCGTAAATCTTCGACAGACTATACGCAAATCTATCTTATCTATATCTATGTATCACTGTTAACTTTGAATTTTATTTTACTAAAAAGTCTATCTTATACCTATAGCATAAAACCCTCATAGAAACAGAAGCCTTCGTAAGCAGTAACTTGATATCTGCAATTGAAATGACAAGCCACCCTGAGGTAAGTGTCAGTCTTATAAATGTTACATAGTGCTTAAACTAATAGCAAATAGTTTTGGAGACCTTCTGTTTTATTCATCTTCACAATTCAGGAAGACTTAAATACTTCCCAGTTGTTTTCTAGTGTTCTTAAAAACTTTCAAGTATTGTATATATCTTACCAGCTCAAGGATGTCTGTGTTATCTTTATTTTTCTCTTTTGCATTCTCAGTGAAGTATACAAATTAAGTATTCTACGTGAGATTCTAACAGTGACAAATTGGGGCTTTTAGAGTATTTTGAGAGAGGCTGTTTTTGTCTTCTTTTTAAAGTAGACCCATCACAAGACTACCCTGTTGTCTTATTTGCTGTATGATTTGTGTTCATTGCTGTCTTGACGTGTTTTTCTTGTATATTACTATGCATTCAGCTCTTTGTAATTAAGTATATTTTCAGTTTCAGTTACAGTTCCATTATATGTTACGAGTTGTTTTGTCTCTTTTTCTCAGTGTCCTCTATAAAATGAGGGGGGCTGGATTAGATTGGGGCAGCCAGATGGTGCAGTGGATAGAGTGCTGGATCTGAAGTCAGGAAGATTCATCATCCTGGGTTCAACTTTGACCTCAGGACCTGGGCAAGTCACTTCAATCTGTTTGCCTCAGTTTCCTCATCTATAAAATGAGTTGGAGAAAGAAATGACAAACCACTCCATTATCTTTGCCAAGAAAACCCTAAATGAGGTCACAGAAGAGTCAGACACGACTGACATGACTGAGCCGTAACAGCAGAATTAGATTGCTGTTAAGGTATCTTCTACCTGTAAATCTACAATCCCATGAAAAAACGTATAGGTTAAAAGATAACATATTTCCAGTCTACAGGACATAGATGAAATGGAGCCTGAAAGAAATCCCCCTGTTTTCGTGCTGAAATAATGTCATATGCAAAAAAAATAAAATAAAATTATTGATATATCTAGAATACTTAATATTAAAAAAAGGAAGGAAGGCTACAGACATTACAATTTTTCTCATGGGGCCTCTCTATTCACAGTGTAGAATAAAAGGGTTCAGTGGAGTGCATTTTTAGAAGTACCAATTTAGTTCAATTTCATTAATATTTTAATGAATTAATTTGAATTATTTTTAAAATTAATATTATCAATTTGTCTTTGAAATGCTAGTCTTCAGATCTGGCTTTCTTGTCATTGAAATTTGGATATGAAAGTTCATTTCTTATTCTCTAAGCTCTCTTTGTGTAAGGTAAGGGTAGGAAATATTCCAAACTGCACTATCAATGCATAGTTCTGGATGCAAAATTTACTTCAGACACGGCAAACTGAAGAATGTGCATAACTCTTAAGTCTTTTTTTTTCTTTAATTATTTATTTAATTTTAGTTTTCAGCATTCACTTTTATAAGATTTTGAGTTTTAAATTTTCTTCCCCTCCCCAAGACGATGTTCAATCTGATATGGGCTATACATGTACTATCATATTAAGCATATTTCCACGTTAGTCATGTTGTAAAGAAGAATTATAACCAAAGGGTAAAATCATGATAATTCTTAAGTTTTAAACTCTTAAAGCAAGTTATCTTTGTAGATGTTGCTGTAACCTAATAATATTCATAGTTGGCATAGTTCATGGAATTGTAATCATTATCCTTACCAACAATACCAGCTTCTTTACAAATTCAACAAAAATTTACCCAATACCTTTACAAATTCAATCTATTTTAATTAATGGCAAGCATCGTAGCAGATAATAGTTAACAAAAGTATTAAGTTCCTATTTATGTTTGTTTGATGATCCTTCTGTTGTCATTAAAAATATTGCTTGTTCAGAAAATTATGCATTTTAATTTTCTGGATGTCAGTTTTTTTCCAATGGCACTTGAATTCTAAGACAGCATCTTTCAAACTTTGTTGTACATTCCTTTCAGTACAAAATGTTTGAACATGTACTGTAATATGTGTAAATTTATTTATAAATTATACACATATGTTACTATATGACTTAGGCTTGTTAAATGCAGAACAAAAAGGGAGGTGAGGCTCTTACTGCCCCAGGTGATGTAGGGACAAGGAGTGGCTATGCTGGGAGTGGTAGAAGGAATTTTCCCAATGACATCTCCCCACAGCTATGGGTGCCCTATCGTAGTTAGGTTATTACTGCTCTGATGGCCCTTAGGTTATATCTGGCTGGTGATGTGGCTGAAAGTAGGGGGATTAAAACCTTGCACAGAATTGGGAAGAGGAAGTTGTTGAAGGATAATGGACAGATGGATGTGGAGGTATTCAGAAAAGCCCCATGATTGACTCTCACAGGGAGAGTGAGATTCATCTTCCCATTGGTTGATCATATACTTCTTGATGCACACAACTTTGGATACCAGTGTCTTAAGGAGTAGAGATGTGAAGGGAGTTGCAGCTAATAAAATTAAGAAGCTTTCAATGTACTGAAGAAGACTTTTGTAATCAAAGCACCTATCTTAAGTTAAACTATTGTCCTTCACAACAAACAAAATGCTGATTTAATAAATTTATTCATTATTTCTATAATCCTGGTGATAATTATACTGTATCTGTTAAATGAATAAAAAATTCTCAGAATTAGGCCACATAAATGCAAAGTGGGCAAATTGACTATAAATCAGTGGGTCTTCTCAAGCCAACCCAACTCATTATTATTACTCCTGTTGCTAAATGGCTTTTTTTAAACACTACATAACTATATAGATAGAATTCTGAACTCCAGAAAGGCTGATTGAAACAAGATACCTGGCAATTAAAAAGAAAATATGTTTCACTTTTAGCTAGCTTTAAAGACCTTGTTTATTTCCTCCCTAAACCAAAATAATAATAATCATGATAATAATAAAGAATTTTCTTTCCTAAAAGGAGATTCACTGTGAACTCCATTAGCATTTCCCAGTGAGTCTGCTTAGGCCCCATTTTTCCCCCTTCAGCCAGTGGAAGTTGATCTTATGTGACCTCATTGGGAATTGAACCAGTGGAGTAGGAATTGACCCTTGCATTTGTGGACTTCTAAAAGGGAGTCTTCTGCAGTGGGTAAAGATGACTGTGTAGAGGACAGAAAAGATAAAGTAAGATGCTTTCTTCCCTAACACCCCATCCCCCACCCCTGCCTATTTGGAATTTCTAAATACGTTCACATGGTAGAGGACTTAATCTAGATGGGGTAATGTAGTCTGTCAGAAAGAACTCTAGACTGCACTAGACTAAAATGTCGTGTCAGCTATGCCCCTAACTTATTGTGGTCCCCCAATGGTAAAAGTGGGAAGAGCTGATGACAGCCTCTTTTGTGACCTTGAACAAATTACTTAATATCTATGTCCCTCAGTTTCTTCATCTGTAAAATGATGAGGTTGAACTAAAAAATTACCTCTATGGCCCAATTCAATTCTAATATTCCATAATTTTTTCCTAGCGTATCTGTTCATTTTATTGTATTTAAGGAAATTTTAAATTCCTATTGTATTTCACCTCTAGAATGGATGGCATTAATACTCTTAGGAGTTTCTTTAAAATTCCTTTAGAAATAATATGTTCTCTCTCCACACCCCCCTCATCCCTGTCACACGCCCCACAGTAATTTTTCAAATGTATATGGACTGTTGGTCTATATAAAACACAGATTAATTTTAAAACATCACTGAATTCTTAGTGGCTTTTGGTCATATTTTAAAATAAATTGTACGGTTACTCTTTTTAAGTCAATTTTAAAATTTCTTTTCTTTTTTCTTTTTCCCTTTTTGGCAAGGCAGTTGGGGTTAAGTGACTTGCCCAGAGTCACACAGCTAGTAAGTTATCAAATGTCTGGTCTGAGACTGAATTTGAGCTCAGGTCCATCTGACTCCAGGGCCGGTGCCCTATCCACTGTGTCACCTACCTGCCCCTAAATTTATTTTCAAAAGGGATCCTCATGATTGAAAAGGGTTTGGAGCAATCGTACTAATAAATAAGCCATTTTCAATCTTCTCATTTTCTTTTTATTCTCTTTCTATAATAGGATTATCAGAGTCCCTCTCTATTGCCAGCTAGCCAGAAGAAAGGTATTGGTAAACAGTTGGATTTATTACACCATTCATTTGGGAGGTAATTTTTTCATAGCTTAAGTGGACATTAAAATTTGACCACCTAAACTAAATTAAATGTGGAACTAGTTCTTATTCAGTTGTTTGTTTATTTATGTTTGAAATCTTTCTGCTTCCTAATGTCCTGTCTCTAATTTGTCAACTTCATTGTGGTTACGTATCTTATATTTAATTCCATTAAATGTTTTCCCTCTACTTTATTCAAAGTAAAACAATAATACATTTGCAGCACTATGTAAATAAATATGTGTGTATATATTGTTACTTTCACAAAAATTGTTTCATGTGATGTTTGGTCCTTTCACCTTTGCATTTATGTAACAGTGGGTTCTTATAGAAGTATAATTTATCCACAAAAAGGGGATATGTTTCATAAAACACCATGTAATTGCAAATCATGATATTGGAGAAATTATGTCTGAAAAATTTAGGGATAGGGCCTTTAATCAAGGTAGGTTAAATATTATTTATATTAATTAGATTCTTATTAGGGCCATATATCACATAAAATAGTTTAGATGACAATAGCAGTGCAAACACATAATAATATATATGATTATAAAAATGTTACCCTTTTTTCCTGTGAACAGAATAAGGAGGAGCAAAAGATTTGTTTTGAAGTTGATATTAGCTTCTCTAGTCACTATTTTTCTCTTAATTGTTTCTCTTTTCTTTCTTTTCTTTTTTTTTTTTTTTTTGGTAAATTTTGTTTTATGCTTAAGTACAAAATGAGAATAGAAAAAAAAATTGCCATGTACACACAGCAGACCATAAGAGAGGATTCAACATAAAACAATACATTTCCATTTCAAGAAAATCTGTATTGTTTTCAAAGCTGCCCAGCTTTTCTTTGCTTTCTTGTTGGTTTTTTTTTTTCTGTGCTGTACACTTCTTACTTTATTTTTTTTCCTCTCCTTCCCCCCACCACTCTAAAGAAGGCCACAACTAAGCTTAGATATATATACACATAAACATAGATATCTATAAACATAGGTATATAAACACATATACACTCGTTCACATGTATGTACTATGTAAGTAAGACTGTACTATGCTTATTTCCTCCTGTCATCTGCTTCTCTGAAGGTGGAAAGCATCTTCCTTCATAAGTCCAAGTCTTTCCATGTTTTTCTAAATCAATCAGCTCGTCATTTCCTACACCACAGCAATAGTCAAATCTAATCACTTCTTATCTGATAGATTGACTATGAAAGTTTTTTTGTTTTCCCCAATTTTCTACATTACTTTTATTCTTGGCTATGTAGGTTTTAGTTATACAAGAAAATTTTAATTTAAAATAATTGAAATTATCCTTTTTACAACAATGCTGTCACCTTAAAATATAGTTTAAGGTCTGATACTGTTGAATCTATTTCCTTTACATCTTTTTTCCCTGGTTTCTTGGAAGTTTCTGATCTTTTGTTCTTCTAAATGAACTTTGTTCTTATTTTTTCTCATTAAAATAATTTTTTAGTAATTTAATTGGGATGACATTGAATAAATAGATTAGTTATGTAAAATTGTCATTTTATTTTATTGTTTTGGTTTTTTGCTGAGGCAGTCAGGGTTACGTGACTTGCCTAGGATCACATAGCTAGTAAGTGTCAAGTGTCTGAGGCTGGATTTGAACTCAGGTCCTCGCGGCTCAAAGACCGCTGCTCTATCCACTGCACCTAGCTGCCCCAACATTGTCATTTTAAAAGTTACATTAGCTTTACCTACCCACCAACAATAAATATTACTTCAATTATTTAGATCTTAGTTTATTTGTACAAAAATATGTTTATATTCATATAGTTCCTGTGACTGTTTTGGCAGGTATATGCTCAGGTAGTATTTTAAATGGTCTAAAACAATGTTGAATAATATTGCTGATACATAGTGTAGTTTCTGTTTTTCACTTTTGATTAAGTCTATTTTAACTTTAACTTTGTCTGAGACTATGATTACTATACCTGCTTTTTTTACATATTAAATTCTACTCCTGCCCTTTATTTTATCTTTGTGTATATCTCTCCTTTTTTTAATATTTCCTGAAAGTATCATATTGTTGAATTCAAATTTTTAATCTGCTTTCCATTTCCATTTTATGAGTACATTTGTCCCATTCACATTCTTGATGCAGTTACTTGTTGTGTATTTTCTTCCTTCCTATTTTTCCTCACTATCCTTCTCACCCTATTTACCCTATCCCTCTTCACTCTTCTGCTTTACTTCTACTTGCTACCTTGTCCTCCTATTCCTTAACCTACCCATCCCTCTAAGAGTCCGTCCCTTATCCTCTCTCCCCACCCTATCCCCTTGCCGTCTTATTTCTTTCTGAATTTAGAAGACCTTGATACCCTTCTAGATATATATGTTCTCTCTTTAACCCATTCCTGATGAGAGTAAGGTTCCAGCACTACCCCACTCCCCACTACTAGCTTCTTGTGTGTCAGTTTCTCCTTTTATGCCTCATTTGTATAATTACTCCTTTTTATATCTCCCTACACAGTTTTATTTTTTTTAGAATCAGCATATCATACTCAGCTCAGCCCACGCCTTTCTTTCAAACTACTCAAGTAATGATGACAATCATAACAGTACTGCTAATATTTTCACATATACAAAGTAAATAATTTGACTTTATTGAGTCCCTTGTAATTGGTCTTTAATGTTTACCTTATATTTCTCCTGGATGTTATATATCAAATTTCCCCTTAAGTTCTGGGGAAAAAAACTGAAAGTCTTTGAGTTCGTTAAATGTCTATTTTTTTTTCATTGAAGATTATGCTTGACTTTGCTGGGTAAGTTACCCTTGGTTGTGACCCCAGCTCTTTTGAATATAATATTTCAAGACCTACAGTACTTCAATGTAGTAACTGCTAAGTTTTGTGTAAACCTTATTGTAGCTCCATGATATTTAATTTTTTTTTGTTTTTTTGCTTCCAATATTTTCTCTATATCCTGGGAGCTTTGAAATATATTATTTTTGGCTTTGGCTATAATATTCCTATAAATTTTTCTCCTGGGATCTCTTTCAGGTGATGATCAGCAGATTTTTTCTATTTTTACTTTGCTTTCTTGTTCTAGAACTTCAGAGCAATTTTCCTTGATAATGTCTTATACTATTGTAGCAAGATTCTTTTTTTTTTAAAATCATAATTTTCGGGTAGTCTGCCTATTCTTGGATTATTTCTCCTCAATCTGTTCTCCAGATTGGTTGTTTTTCTGAAGAGATGTTTCATTTTCTCTTCTATTTTTTATTCTTTTGATTTTATTTCATGATTTCTTGGTGTCTTAGAACATCATTAGCTTCCCTTTGCCCAATGCTAGTTTTCAAGGAATTATTTTCTTCCTTGAGTTTGTAATTCTCTATTTCCAGTTGGTTGACTTTCTTTTCATAATTTTCTTGGATTGCTCTTTTTTTTTTCTTTTTAATTTTTCCTCGATCTCTTTTATTTGATTTTTGAAGTCCTTTTTAAGTTCTTCCAAGAACTCTTTTTGTTCTTGGAACCATTCAACGTTTCTCATTGAAAAAGTAATGACTTTTTTATCTCCATTATGTTCCTCTGAATATGAATCCAGATCTTCTCTTTCCACATAGTAACTCTCTATGGTTGGGTTCTTTCTCCTTTGCTTACTCATTTTTATTTATTACATTTTTGTTTTATTTTGTTTTTAGCAGGTATCAATGTAATCAAGTTTTAGTCCTGAGGTATAGGGAATGATGCCCCAAGCCTCAGGTACTTCTTACTATTATTTTCTGAAGTCTGTTTCCAGGTTCAACCTTGGGGTGTTCTCTCCATTCCTAAGTTACAGCTAGTGCCCCCAGCCACACTGTCCTGCAAATGATTTTGTTCCCTGCAGTCTCTCCGGTGGTTGCAAACTACAGCTGTCCTCTCTGCCCCCTAACTAAAACCAGGGCCTCTGCTCTCCTGCAAGTACCCACAACCAGCAAGGGTTCCTGCCCCTCACTACTGCACTCACCAGGTGTGCGCTAGCTCCTCCTTGCAGCCACAGCATAAGATGAATCTGTTAAGCATAGCTGTGCTTGACTCCCTTGACAGTGGATCTTCTCCTACTCAGCAGTCAGACCCCAACACTGTCTGTGAGATGAAAGTTTCCAAGTCTGGGGCTGCTTCTCAACCTAGTTACCCCCAGGGCTTGTGTGTTGACTCTGCAGAGTTAGCCTGGTGGTGTTTACACTTCACTCAGGCTGAACCTCTACCCCTGGAAATCAGGTCTTTCCTCGGTTCTTCTCAAATTGTCTTAGGAGGACAACTGCTTTACCCCATGTTTATTTCTGCTGCTTGGAGGCAACGTTCTGTCTTTTGTGGAGGAAATTTGGGGAGCTGAAAGTTTTCTGACCTACTCTGCTATCTTCCCAGAAATCTCCTCTCTTGTTTTTCTCTTTTGCTTCCTTCTGTCCCACTGCTTCCCCTACCACCTCTCAAACCCTGGAATAGATAGCACCTTTTTATTTTTTTGAGTCAGGTTATTGTTTAATTGCCTAACTAATGTATATATCTATCATGATCTTCTTCCTCGACCCATCAAGGTTATAAGAATGGGACATGTTTCTTGAGGATGGGAGACAAAGAGCATGACAATTAAAACCATGAAGCTATTCCTTAGCCATAATTATCTAAGGAAAATTTATGGGAGGACATGGAAAAGAGTTGTACAGAATAGGTTAAAATCTACTTCATTAGAGGGAATACACACATTAATGAGATCATGGATCCATTTGAGTTATCATCTCTTTAGCAATTCTCTGGTCCTAGGTAAGTGCCTCTTTTGGATACCATCTATGAAATATACTAAATAATAATCTCATTTGTAAAATAGAGAAATTCCTCACATCAGACCTACCCATTTGCCTATGAGAGTTCTGCTTACATCAGCAGATGATGATGACAACGATGGTGATGAAAAAGAGACATTTCAGAATGACAGCAATCTCACAACCAAGAAAGTACCTGATTCTCTCACTCCAGTAGCATCCAAAGTATCTTTATCTAATCAATTCCATTTGGAATTATCGCAAAGTCCTGAGAAAAATAATCAGGACATAGATGCCCAAGATAATCCAGGGAGAAATTTTTCTGTCACCAATGTCTTTTCCACAGGTGAGACCTTTTAAAAAATTATTATTATTTTTTTGGGGGGGGGTTGAGGCAATTGGGGTTAAGTGACTTGCCCAGAGTCACACAGCTAGTGAGTGTTGTGTGTCTGAGGCCAGATTTGAACTCGGGTCCTCCTGACTCCAGGGCCACTGCACCACGTAGCTGCCCCTCAAAAAATTAATTTTATTAAAGTTTATATGGGTGTTTTTTCTTGAAGATATGGTGTTACTGTAGGATCAAAGAAAATTTGATAATATCTGCCATTTCATCATGTTGGCAAAGGCTAAACAAGCACTTTTTTCCAACATTGTCACTTGTTGAGGAACTTCTATGACTGGTATGTTGGCAATTCTGGTAATGCCCAGCCTTATAAATTCTGTTCAGAAATAGTCTTGCCATGTCTAAATATCATTTCTTGTAAAGATAAATTAAACTACTGATCAGTTTTGTGATTACTTTACTGATAGGTAGTACCTAAAATATTATCCTGGACCTGGAATTTAGATTTGGTTGGTTTCTTTGTTTTGTTGTTTCAAGAAAAACGTATAAAGAGGATGAAATCCTAACTTGTACCACTCTGTTAGTTACCTGTCAGTAGCTTTTTTGTTACAGTTATTGGTAGGATATTCTTATTTAAATGTCTGATTTAGCCTCTGAAACTAGGATGGGGGGGCCGTTTATTAGATGTTGCAGAAGTGAAATGTTTATGAGCTTACACTAAGTTATTTAGCTTCAAGTTCCTCATTTGTGAAAATAAAGGAGAGAGAATATCCCTAGTCACATAAAAAAGTTAATTCAGGGCCAAAAGGTAAATACAGATTGGATAAGGTCCGCAAGTATGGTAATTGCTTTTAACCATTATAGAAATCTAAAATCTCTATTTTTAAAGTAGATAGTCAGACTTTCATGAAATATCTTGTTAAATGTAAGCAAAAATCTTTTGGTTTGATGGAAGCTGAGCAAACTTTCTTAAATTATTTTAATTGGTACTACCAAATTATTACCAAAAAACTCCAAACTCAAACCAATACTCATAATTTTTAAATGGCTTTGTTTTTAATGAAGGAGGAAAAGAAACAAGTATTATAAGTGCCTAATCTGTTCCAGGCACTGTGCTAAGTGCTTTACAAATATTATCTTATTTGAACCTCACAACAGCCCTGGGAGATGAGTGCTTTCGTTATCCCCATTTTATAGTTGAGGGAATTGAGGCAAGAGGTTAAGTGACTTGCCCAGGGTTACGTAACTAGAAAGTTTCTAAGGTTGGATTTGATCTCAGATCTATCTGACTCCAAGCCCAGTGCTCTTTCTACTTGCTATATCCAACCAAATATCTTAAGTACATTAATTATTCATGTCAGATAAAAATTATTAAACTTAACATAGTACAACACTAGTCTTTTAATCAGAAGACCATTTGAATCTTAGTTCTACTGCTTATTCTCCCCAGCTGTGTATGGCCTTGGGTGTGTTTATCACCTCTCTAGGTTTCAGTTTCTCCATCTGTAAGGGGAGGAGCTTGTGCTAGATCTCTAGAGCTTAATATTTTGTGATTTTTATAAGAGACTATCTCATGATTTATACCTGAGGGCTTTGTACTATACTTTAAAAACTTGGTATTCCAAGGCCTTTGCTGTTGCCTTGTGCACATGTAGAGATGCAGCACTGTGGTTAGGAAGCCCAGTCTTTTCTCTGTATCCACGTAGACTTCTCTGTCATACGTCATGGTGGTGACTCTTCTCTAGAAGCCTTTAGGTTCTTGAAACATGTACCTTTCCTATTAGAGCATACACAAGTATAGGCAAGAAGGCTTGCATAGGATGCAGGAAGACCTGGGTTTAAGATTTACCTCTAACACATACTGGCTGCATGCACTGTAGGCAAATCACTTCAGGTTTCACAGCGCCAGGTGATTTTCTAGCACTAGAACTTGCAGAGCAGGTATTTGTCTATGTTGGTAGAGATTTTTTTCATTAGGAACTTATTCCTCATTACAGTGAAATCACAAGTTTGATCCTAACTTTGTAGGCAAGACATGTCCAAAAATCCCCCTCATGTCATCTTTCCTGACTCTTGAAGACCTTGGAGAGTAGCTTGCTTAGGATAACCACATACTCTTTTGGCCTCCAGGGAATCAGATTAAAACCAGCAAAAATGTTGGCTCTTATGCTCATGTTCCTGAGGAATAAGGGACTGAGCCCAAGTTGGCTGCTGAAGCCTCTTATCAAAGTTCCAGAAACTTTGGCAGTGGCTCAGTACAACATGGGATTAGGCCAAGGTTAGTCTCCTGACTCTTGGCAGCCCAGACCACTGGCCCCTTCTTATCTCTATAGACAAGTCACCGTTGTAAACATTTGGAATAAACATTTTCACAATTTCTTTTTTGTTTTAGCCAGTTGTCCTTTTAAGAAACTTTCAACTGATCATAGAATCAGAAGTCATGCTGTACCTTTGAAGTAATTTGTAATCAGCCATAAGTGTAACACTTGCTTTCCTCTATTACTGAAATAAATTTATTTCTTTTTGTTGTGTAGAAAACCAGACCCATCCAGAAGAAAGTTCCTCAGCAAGTGAACTGAATAATCTTCAACATGTTGGGCAGGAGAAAAAGAAAAGATCTCGTAGTAATAGTCAATCTGGAAATGTGACTGAAAGAAAAAAGCGTCTTCCATCTTGGGAATCAAGTAATTTTCCTGCAGCAATTCCCCTTGCAGTGGATTTGGAACAAATAGTTTCAAATAACATATTAAATTGGAGCAGCAAGATAAATGACAATTCTATAGCTACAGATACTAAAACACAACAAAATGGATTGTGTCTTGACTCACAGTCTCAATCTGTCAGTGAACTTAATGCAGAGTTCCCTACTGTGGTGCTGCCCAGTGATGAGCAGCAACTGCACAAAACAGTATATGAAGCTGATATGGATTTAACTGCGAGTGAAATTAGCAAAATTGTTACAGTTCAAACAGGTGCCAAAAATAAAAGTAATCATAAAGCTAAGTCTTCTGGGAAGAAAGCTTTTAGAAAAGTGAAAGATTCAAGCAGTGAAAAGAATAGAGAGAAGTCAAAAGTACAACCAAAAACTAGTTCATATTTACACAGTAAAGAAAGGGATAAAGATACAGAAGAAAGCAGTTCTCTTACTTTGGCTGAGAGTAGTAAATCAGAAGATCAGAAGCTCACTTTGGAGACTAAACAGCTTGCTCAGTTAAACACCTTGAAGAATGTAACATTTGCTAGTGAGCAAAGTGTGGTACAAATTTCACAGCATCATGATAAAAAGAACAAAGTGAGAAAAACATATGTGGTAAATGATGAAGAGATAGTTACCCTTTTCCCCCCTATGTCAAATAAATCCCACCAGGACAGCAATTGTAGTATGGGACATAGTTTCCAAACTTTTGATAAAGGCAGAGATTTTAGAAGGACATTTGTGGTTGATAATTCAAACAAAGATACATGCTTTCCAAGTCAAAAGGATAATGAAACAGTCTCTTGCATATTAGAAGACAAGCTACAAACAATCCTTAAATGTACCAATGGTAGCCAAAGCCTATCTGATTGTAGGACCCAAAATTCATTGGATGTAGAAAAGCAGATCACTCGTGTGCAGCCTTCCAAACAAAGCACAACAAATTTAAGCAAAAAGTCTGTGAAATATAGCAGAAAAAGGAGGCCATATGAATTACTTTCTGAAGTTAACCAACTACATGAAAATAGCAACAAAGTTGTGTACCACAAGGAAAGTCATATGGAAGACCTTAATTCAGAAATAAACAAATCTGAAAAAAACACTAAATACCAAATGAACAATATTAAAAATGCATCTTGTGTAGAAGTCATCAGTAAAAAAATGGAAAATTACAATCAGTGCTCAGATCTTCAAAAACGGGATAAAAAATATAGCAAGAATTCATCAGGTAAACCGATGAGTTTATTGATAAAATCTAAGCCCAAAACCTTCATGCAGCCAGCAGATCTTACTCAACATTCTGTTCCCTCAGAGTCAGGTTTAAAACACTCTATGAGAGAACTGGAAAGTGATCCTGAAAGCCAGAATGAGCACCAGAAGGGCCAGACTCAAAGCGCAACCACCACTCTGAATAAGAAAACATCACTAAGTTCTTTTATGAAAGTGGCTGCAGAAAGTGAATTACATGTTAAAGTGTCAAATAAAAGAAGAGAATCCAAGTCAAAAAAGAGCCGAAAGACTTATGTAGTTGCTCCAATTGATCAAAATGAAGTAAAGGAAAAAATACCTGAGACTGTTGAGGAAAGGTTAATACCATGTGATTCTGAGCAAGTTAATCAGGAACAAAACTTGAAAAATGAGAAAATATTTGCCCAAATAAAGCCAGATCAATTCATTTTTAACCCAGTAATGGAGAATAGTTCTTGTCCCTTGAAGTCTTTAGCTCAGGTGGATTCATCTAATACAAGGCGATTTTCTCCCTATACCATCTCAAAGGAGGGTTTGTTAAACTCGGACATTTCAATTGCTAGGGACCAGAAACTTCCAGGCAATGTTACTTTGAAGGAACCCATCTTTCAGGTGGCTGACACTGAGCAAAAGTGTGCTTTCCAAGAGAAGACAGAAGGGACAATATTTCAAGTTGGCGGAAGAACAGAAACAATTGGAAAAGGTAAGCATTAGGACACTTAAAGTGTCTCTATCAGCAAGCATTAACAACCTTGTATGTGCTAGGCACTATTCCTGGCTCTGGGGAAACAGACAAAAATGAAACAGTCTTTGTCCTCAAGGAGCTTTCCTTTTATTGGGAAAACAATGCATACTTTAAAAAGTGTATATAAAATCTATACAGACACAATCAGAAAGAATCTGCAGTTTATAGACTTGATTTTGAAAGGCATCTGGGATCTTCGGACTTAACCAGTGCCTTGTAGACTCAACACTTGATAGCTTTCAGGGCCTTGATCCTCAAGTCTCATTTTTAACTCTTTCTCACCTTCCATATCTAATCATGTGCTAAGGACTGTCAATTCTCTCTCTTAGTTTATCTCACAACCCTCCTTTCTCATTTATGCTTTGCTACTGTTTTAGCCCAGGCCCTCATTACCACTTGCAAGGGCTACTGTAATAGACCGTTTATTTGGTAGTAGAGTCCTACCAGCTCTTCTTGCCTTCCCTACTCTGAACTGTCCTTCCTAGTGCTGTCAAATTAATCCAGGTGTGCCACTCCTTTGCTTAAAACCCTTAAAGATCTGTTGCTGCGGAGCCAAGTTCCAACTCCTTGACTTGGTATTGAAGCTCCCCTACAATCTGGAACCATCCAATTAACTTACAGATCAGGTACAGTTTCTTTTTTGCTCATATCCTCAGAGCCTAGCACAAAACCTAGCACTTAATTGAATTAAATGTTTTCAGCTTTATTTCATCACACTGTTCTCCCAATGCTTGAAGCTTCAGCCAAGCCCAACACTTTCCCAGTCTTGCCTTTGTGCTCTTTCTACCTGGAATGCCCTCATTGCCTCTTTTATACCTGTGAAAATCTACCCATTTTTAGAAAGCCCAGCTCAGATACCACTGCTTCTGTTAAGCTTCCCTGATTTCCCTTCTCTTGCTCCAAATCAGTAATGAATTTTTGCCCCTTAGCCCTTACTCAGCAATTTCCTTTTACCTCTCATGTACTTATGTATTATAGGGTATTGGGGAGGGCACATGGTGGTGTCTTAGATTTCTCCACATGTAAGATAGTATTCCTCACATAGGAGGTACATGGTCAATATTTGTTTAATTAAATGGGACTTGCTGTATGCTCATAGATAAATCAATCAACTTTTATTTCATTGACCCAGTCTTTTAAATGGAAATAACATTAAGCTGTTTCAGTATTATCCAAAGTGTTAAATCATGCATTTGGTCATGATTATTAGATTCTGAGCACCTAGTATGTTCTATTGCACATAATTAACATTTAGGTATATGGAATTGAATAGTCTTACACTTTTATTTATCCTTCACAGTGATGTTATTAGGTGCTTGTTATATACTTACTGAATTAACTTGCAACTATAACTTCCAAATGGTTAACTTGATACAGGATTTGTGAAAGCTTTCACAAATACTTTATTATGAAAAATAGTTGAGAACCTTTCAAAGCATTATATTTTTCAGCCTTTAAATATGTGACTTCAGACTAGTTAATGTTGGGAACCAATGTATTGGCCTATGCTTCAAATTAGGTCTTATTTTTTTTCCCTCACTTGTGATGTTGAAGTTTACTGCATAGTTCACTATTAAAAATTCTATAAAATATAAGATTTCCTTTATTTCCAGATACCAAAGTACTACAAGATTTGACAAACACTAGTTTTGTTTCCCACAATTCTTCTCCTAAATCTGAGAGTGCATTGGATGAAGTTTCTTCAATCTTGCCAACTAAAAGAAGGCAAGGTGCTGTTTGCTATAAAGAACCAAGTCTTAAGAGGTAAATATCAATTTTTTTATGTCTTAAGAGTAAACTTTTTTCTCCAGCATTATTTTTCAAGCCCCTGCTCAAATTAATTCCTGTACAGATGAGCCTAAGATCAAACTGTCAGTTATATGTACTGATTATTATTATAATAGATGCCCTGGTTCAGGCACTCATTAACTCTCATTTTGACTATTAGAATAGCCTCCTAATTTGGTCTTCTTCCCTCCTCTCCCTCCCTTTTTCAATTCTTCCTCCATACAGTTGTCAATGTTGTTCCTAAAATATAAATCTTACTGTTTAATATTCCTACACGCTGAAAATTTTCCATTCATTCTCTAGTCCTCTAAGATCACATACAAACTCCTGTTTGACATTTAAGGCTCTCCACAATCTGACTGCCACGTGCCTTTCCAGAGTTATTTCGTATTATTCTATACTTACTGTTCCAATCAGAATGGACTGCGAGGCATTCCCATACATGTCATCCTTCTTCTACCTTCATAGTTTTGCACAAATGGTCCCCAATATCTGGAATGCACTGTATTCTTACCTCTTAAGAATAGAATTCTTACTGTCTTGCAAAGCAGAGCTCAGCACCACCTCCATAAATCCTTTTCTGATTTTCCCCTTCTCCCTACCCCTATCCTTGTAGTTATTAGTGCTCACCCACTTTAAATTACTTTAATATATTTTTGCATTTCCTTATAATGTACATATTATGTCCCCCAGTGGAATGTAAGCTCTTTGAAGGCATAGACTGTTTCTTTTTGTCCCAACCCCAGCCTAATGCTGTGCACATAGGGTTTTTGTTGTTTTGTTTGTTTTTCGGTCTGTATTATGATTTCATCCATGTAGGGAAGAACATCTCGATGTGAAAAAACTCCCTCAAGGAGTACAAATCAGCAATGATTCTGTAATTTATAATCTTGAGAGAATTGACTGGCCCAAAGAGAAGTTAAGGGGCTTGCCCAGTTTCACATGACTAGTAGATAGCAAAGTCAGGACTTGATTCCAAGGCCAGCTCTCACAAAGTCAAAGAATTTTTAGTTAGGGATCCTGAGTGACCACTGAGTCCAGCCCATTCCTGAAAGGCATCTTTACTGTAACAGGGGCCTAAGAGATACCAGCGTCTGTTCAAAGGCCTCCAATGAGAAGAAAAATAGAACCTCTCAATGTAACCTGTTCCACTTTTGGATACATCTAATTAGCAGGAAGATTTCCCAACATCAAGCCAGAATTTGCTTCTTTTCGATGTCAGAGGTGATGCAATTCCAAGAGATAATTAGGTCTAATGTGTGACCATGTTGGTTAGTGAAAGATGTGAGATAAAAAAGGAAGGCTGTTGCATTTGAGGCTGAGAAGTTGAGAGGTCGTTTTGAAGTCTCTGAGGGAGAGAGATAGACAATGGAGCAGAAAACGATAACCAGGTTACTAAGATAATTGAGCAAAGTATGAATGTAACTATGGAGTTTGGTATCCCCTAAGCCATGCTGCCTCTCTTGTACATAAAAAATAGGATGCTTAAAAAAAATTGTTGACTATATAATGCAATTTTAGTGACAGTTTAAAGAAATGTATTCTTTTAATCATAGGTTTGGTTCCTCTAGGTGGCTTTACATTGATCCCATTTGACTTGTTCCCAAAAATATATGTAACAACTCATATTTATATCACACTTTAAGGTTTTTTTTCACCTACCCCTGTGAGATAGAAAATACAAGTGTTGTTACACAGCTAGACTTCCACAGACCATGACTGGGAGGAGCTAAGTCACTCTTCCCCTCTTGGTTTGGTGAATTGGAGTCAACCTTAGAATTGCATTTGAAAAAGTGCCTGTTGATCCATTCACCATCCTTGTGCCTTCCCAAACCAAAACACCCTTCTCTGGCCAGACCATTCCACTATATTGTTGTTTCCCTCTGTTAGAATATGAGCTTTGGAGGGCAGGGACTACCTCACTTTTGCATTTGTATCCCCAGTGCTCAGAACAGTGTTTGGCACATAGCCAGTGGTTAATAAATATGCTTATTCATTCATCTTCTTTTTACAAATGAGGAAATCAAATCAGAGATCAAATCAAATCACACCTATAGTTTGATAAGTAATTCCAGTTGTCATCCACTTAAGTTTACATTTATCATATCCAATTTAAAACCATTTATTCTTCCTGTAACATATATTATCCTTGGTAGCATAAAAGTACTTCCTGTAAAAGATGAAAAGAAGTAGCCTATTTTGGAGGGTATTAAGGGTATTTTTCTATACTTAAACCAATCAGTTTCAAAGGAATAGTTAAAAGGACTTTAAACTTACTTCTTTTAGTTTCTTGCTTCTATGTTTGTTCTAATCATAAAGAATAGACCTGATATTTTTATCAAGATCCAAAGTATTGTGAGAGCTAAGTAGAATATTACTTAACCAGCAGATGGCAGCAAAACAAAGCCAAAAGACAGAAAAGTAGCTAGAGAAAATAAAAATAAGCGCAGTGTTCTTATGTTTGGAGTTTTTAGAGCTGGTGACAGAGCCAGGATTCAAACCTGATTTTGGATTAGGGTTAGATTTAGGGTTAGGTACCCAAAACTTAAGCCTTACCTTCCTCAAATCCGTACCTCACCTATAACCCCATAATTCATGATGGCCACTTTGAAATACCAAAGAACTTCAAATAAGGATTTTCTCCCCTGATGTGATTTACCACCAGGAGCTTTTTGCTACATAACATTGTGATTTTAATCCTCAGCCCAAAACTAAAGAGAATTTAGATAGAGAATGCATTCACCTTTTGGATAGTATCTAGGTTCAGAGTGTAATCACATTGTGACCAGGTTACTGATTTTTTAATCTTATTACATTTTTAAAAAATCTAAAGTACTCACCTGAATTCCCTGCTACTGGAGGAGGCTTAGGCTAGTAGATCTCCTGAGCTTGGGAGCTCTGAGATGCAATGGGCTGAGCAGATCAGGTGTCAGCACTAAGTCTGGCATCAGTCTGATGAACCCCAGGAACCTGCCTAAGGAGAGCTAAATTGGTCCAAGTTAAAGCTCCTCTACCAGTCAGCAGTCAGATCATGCCTGTGAGTGGTCACTGCACTTGCAGCCTGGGCGAGATAGGGAGACCTTTCTTTCCTTCTCCCTCCAAAAACTTACCTACCAGCATGTTAAAGCAGGCAGAGTTTCCCTGGAGTTTTCAGAGAGATTTTAAGGGATTCGTGAACTTTGAACTTTCAATATTTTGGATAACTATGCTAGGATATAATTGGTTTTCTTAAAATCTGCAATGAAGAGAGACAGGTATGCTTTCTCCACCCTTCTCTGGATCAGAGTTTAGCTATTATAATTACACAGTACTCATTTTTTATTTTTGACCTGTCCATTTATATTATTGCCATTACATAGATATATTTTTTTCCTTTTGTTTTCTTGGTATTTTTTCTTCTAAAAAGAAGACCTAAACCCCTTCATTCTATAGATGAGGAAACTTGAGATCCAGAAGGGTTAAATTATTTGTTCATAGGTAGGCATTTTTTTAAATCTCTCACATTAGTAGTAGATGTGTGCTTAAAAATGTTTAAGTTGAATTTCTTCATTATATTTGTATCTGAAATACATAAATAAATTTTACATTTTGAATGACTAACTTTTGAATGTGAATGGTGCTTTTTTTTTCCCATGCTGCCACAGTAGCAAGAATTAGATTTTAGTTTTTAGGTCATGTGATATGTTAATTTAATTCTCTTTTCTGCAGGAAATTGAGACGAGAAGTTGAATTTGCAAATTCTGATTTTCTGGATTCCCAACCTAAAAAGTCAAGAGGAAGAAAAAAGAAAGAAGCTAAGGAAAACTCTCAAGAAATACTTTAAGTGGTTAATTTTTTTTTATTTTGCTTTTATAAAACTATGGAATGATGCAGTTTCCATTCTTAAGCTTAAGCAAATATATGTAATAGCTGTTTTGTAATTTTGCCATTTATTAAATGTTTTGTTCAAGACCATTCATGCTGTGTAATCTCATGTTTTTGCTATTTTAAGTTTCTCTAGATAAAGGCAGATTACTATATAAGCATGAGATTCAATGAAACATTTTATGTGTTTTGACAGTTGTGATAGAAAATGTTCCATCTTATTAATAAACTTAATTTTGTATTGATTGCCCTTAGTCAGTTGGATGGCTGTGGCAGTGTACACAGTGTCTCTGTGAGCTTCCACCAAGAAACAGAAGACCAGGGTTCAAATCCCATATCTGAGCAAATCATTTCACCTCCTTAGGCCTTAGTTTCATCATCTATAAAATTAGCAGTGCAGGAATGATGACCTCTGAGATCCCTTCCAGCTAAAGATGTATGATCCTATGAAGCATTTTAACAAGGAGGGACCGAGGGATAAACTGTCTGCTGCCAGAGAACTAGCCTAACAAAGAAGAAAGCAGTTCATCATCAGAAAGTTGATGTTAGAGGTGGAGGAGGAAATCAAATCACACCTATAGTTTCCTAAGTAATTCCAGTTGTCTAACACTTTAGTGTTTCTTAGGCAGTGACTTATGTGGCTGCTACAGCCCACCTTCCTATTTGAGGTGCATCTGATACATGATTTCCCCCTATAGAAGTAAGGCTAAGTGATGGGTCAGTCTTCTGTATAGGACTAGATCCATTTGTTGTTTAATATATACTCAAACTGCCAATACAACTTCCCCTTTGTGAGGCTTCTTTCTTAGATAAAACAGTTGCACTCATTAAGCATAGTGTGTTGCAACTCTGCTTGCATATTAAATTAGAAGTACATCCATCCCCTTTGTGCTATGCTACCACCACCCCATGGAGTGCTCCATGTAAGCTACAAATCCTCTAAGCCATTGGTCTTATGGAGTATGTGTACTCCGGACGCTGCACAAGACAAACCACTTGGGTGAGGGAAGAAAATATTACTACTATTTTTAATCTAAAAAAGGAAAGAAATTAAACTTTACTAATAATTAGTATAGGGATTTAACACTAGCATCCTTATGCCATAATTGTCATGTCACCGTACTCTAGGTTGCCTGAAGTAGGAGTTTATAAAATGCTTTTGATAGAACTTCCCATGGTGTGGAGAGGTTAACAGTGACACCCTCCCTTGTTCATTCATTCTCAGTGTTCTGTGTTGAGCATATTGCAATTTATATGTGCCCAGTTAAGCAATCTTACAGACTGTTATATCTTAACTGACCCTCATAAAATGGATCCGTGACTTTAAAAATTCCTGTAAAAAAAAGACTGAATTGAAGAAAATACTATTGTGAGGTCAAGCAGACAAAAACAGCGGCACTGACACTCCTTTTCCTAAGTTGTTCTCTTCATCAGTCACATTACAAGGTAAAACAGTGATAATCTAATGATATGAGAATGTGGACAAAAAAAAATCAAAATTATCAAAAATATTTAAAAAATGAGTTTACATCTACTCATCATTAACCTATGCATATGTTGTGCTAATTATAGGATAAAATCATCATTTATCACAATTTATCCTATATGTAACTTGTTTGTACTTAGTTATTTTCATGTCTTCCCAATTAGATTATAAGCTCTCCGATAGGAAGGACTATCTGTATCCCCAGCACTTAGCATAGCTCCCGGCACATAGCAAACATATAAACAATAAATATAAACAATAAATAAAATGAATAATAAATATTTATTGGCTGACCGTGGGAACAAGGGTGCGGGCCAAGCAGCAGCCCGAGGCCTTGAATGCCGCCACTATTTGTTGTAATGTTTATGTATTTCTTAACCATATACCATGTGTAAAATTGTTACCACCTTTATTAGGTTTCTATCTTTTTATATACCACTGACAAAACTTATAAGTGCGGTGCCCCAACCCCATTTTTCCTGTAATCCTTGTGGTTTTTATTGTGTAATTTTGCATAGCACAGTGATTTTTAGGAGCCCATACATTAGAGCAAAAAGACAGTCCCTACCCTTAAAAAGCTATATTCCAGTGGGGAAAGACAATTCATAAAAGGGAGCTGAAAAGCAAGAGTTAGGGGTTAGGGGAAGAGGCAGAAACTACCCAGGCAGGGACAAGATAGAGAAGTTCAGAGATCCAAGAGCAGAACCTGGAAAGAAGTGAACCATAGATGTCCTAGCCACTTCCCCAGTGGAAGTTCTGGTCAGGAAATCAGCAATAGGAGGAGGGCTGGAGCCCTTTCCAGCTTGAAAAGGCAACTGAGGCAGAAGTGGAAAAGTCCAGAGCATCAGGAGTGGAGCTTAGAGAGAAATGGAATTCCTCCAAGAGCAGATAGCACTAGTAATAAGTTCTTGAATTCTGTTTTATTTTTCTATCAATGTCCATTTGTGATTAGTTTGGAATTTCTTTTTTGTTTAGGTAATAAATACTTGTTTCATACTTTGTTTAATAAAAACTAGCATTTATATAGCACCTTAAGGTTTGTAATACACTTTACATGTTACCTCATTTATTCCTCCATAACCTTGGGAGATAGATGCCATTATCTCCATTTGACAGATTAGGAAAGTAAGACTGAGTTTAAGTGACTTGAACAGGGAGGTAGGAATTAAACTCAGGTCTTCCTGATTCCAAGTCCCAACACTGCCTGTGCCATCTAGCCTCATTGTACACTGAATACTTATCACTCTCTACCAACCATCTACTCCTTTGGAGAGAGCTAGACATGAGCCCAAACTTAAGATAATGAATTTTTCCCCCAGGGTGGAGGCTAAACAAACTGAAAAGTGTGAGAACAAGACTGTCCCTTTCTTGGTAGAGGCCATGCTCTCCTCAGAACTGAGCTCTCCAAACCATGTTTGGGTCCAAAGTAAAAGGGCCCTTTAGGGAGAAAAAGTAGGTGTAGTACCCTAACAACTTTTGCCCAGCAATGTAGATTTATAGAATTAGAACCGACACTAAAGAGATCAAAGATGGGAAAAACAGCTCAAGATGAGCAATTGTACAGAGAAGATTCATGCTAGATCACCATTGTGAGAATGAGAGGACTAATTCACAAAGTGTCTGAACTTCATGTCACTCTTATCAATTGCTGAAGTAGTATTTAAAAAAAAATTATGGAGTATATTCACATACTTCCTTAGTGAGAACAAAAACAAAAAGGTTTATTGTACCATTAATAAAATTACTTTAGAAATGTTTTTGTAATCATTAACTCAAACTTCAAAATTTTTATTTTGAGTATGTTTTATAATATAAAAGTACAATGTTAGAGAAAGATATCAAGATCAGGGAAATTATCTTGGACTATACTATTAATGCAAAAGAGAAAAAAAGAACATCAAGAGCTGCTGTTTTCTCATTTAAGTAAAAGTGTTATGAGCACATATGTACATGCATCAAGTGCATGCCTGGCACATTGCAAGAGCTAAATAAATGCTTGTTGATCTTTAATGAGGGAGTTGGCAGGGAATAGGCAGGCTTTCCCAAGAAATATTTCATGACAAGGTCCATGTATTTACAAACATTGAGTTGACAAAGGTATTGAGAATACAAGTTCTTATTCTGCACTTTGAACGATTTAAGAGCTCTAAATATAACTGCAACATTTTGTGATGATTAACTAGGATAGACTTAGCTTTTTTTCAGCAGTACAATGATCCAAGATAATTCCAAAAGAATCATGATGGAAAATACTAACCACATCCAAAGAGAGAAATATGGAGTCTGAATGCAGATCAAAGTATACTATTTTCACTTTTTTTTCTTTCTCGTATCTTTTCCTTTCTGATTCTTCTTTCACAACATGAATAATATGGAAATATGTTTTACTGTACATGTATAATCTATATCAGATTGTCTACTGTCTTGGGAAGGAAGGGAAGGAGAAAAATTTGGAACTCAAAATTTTACAAAAATGAATGTTGAAAACTATCTTGACATATAATGAGAAAAAATACTATTAAGAGGAAAAAAAGCACTCTAAATATAATGAGCAACCATAATTCCAGAGGACTGATGATAAAGTATGTTACCCATCTCCTGACAGGTGATTTATTAAAAGTACAGAATGAAAGATGTAATTTTTTATGTGAACAGCGTGGGAGTGTGTTTTGCTTGATTATACATAATTATTACAAGTTTTTTTTTTTGTTGTGTTGTGTTTTAATGGGGGTGTGAAAGACTAGAAGGGGAATAGCTTTTTGTTTATTGGAAAAAATTACTGTTTATTACTTGTTGGCTATTGAAAAAAAGCTTTCAATTTTGGTAAAGGTAAACACCATTTTAAAGGATCCTTTCTAACAAGGTGTCATGTAAATGTCAAAATTTCATATGATCCCTTGAAAACTATAACAGATAACCTTGTTTATCCAGATCATTAATGTCCGTCAGGTACTTTGGATGCAGCTCAGGTACCACCGTCTGCATGAGGCCGTTCCTGATCTCCCCTTACCCAGGACCTATTGCCCTCCCTTATAAACTATCTTAGGTATTATAAATAGCCAAATTAACTACAAAGGACCTATGAAGGAAGATGCTATCTGCATCCAAAGAAAGATCTGATAAATAGAAGTATGTGTAGAATGATTTTACATAGATATATGTATCTAATGATCACCATTTCTAGGGTAGAGGCTAGGGAGGGAAGAAAAAAATTTACATGATAACCTTATCATGTATCAAGGAATAGCAAGCTGTACATAATGTGCAGTTTCATGTGCAACCATCTTTTTTTCCCCTTTTCTACTACATTATGGAAATGCTTGTTTTATTTCTTAAGTTCAGAATAAAATAAAATCTCAACTCAGAGTTAACTTTTATTTATATTAATTTACTTTTATTTTTTCTGAGTATTTTATGAATTTATTATCTCATTCCATTTGAACATAAGACCCTTGAGAAAAGGAATTGTTTCCCTCATATTTGTATCCTCTTCACCAACCACAACACCAGCACATAGTAGGTACTTAATGATTGTTTATTGATTAATCTCAACAAGGTATAACATATGCTCACAAGATATTTATCACTGTCATGGAGGTGATAAAACATACAGTCCAAGTTAGAGAGGAATTCTCTGTAGATGGGAGGAGCCTTCCAATGTTTCTGTCTGTGGATGACATTGGACCAGCTACATTAAACCCCCTTGCTTTTTAGAGCGTCCTAGATGAAATCCATAATCCATCAAATGAATTTGGTCTAAGTGTTCACCTGGGAAAGCCAAAATGGCTGAAGAATGTTCATTGTCCTGAATGTGATCCGCAGTTACACACACACACACACACACACACACACACACACATGTATATATGTATGTATAAAACATTATCATTATAAACAACAAAAAAAATAAAAAGGTCAGAAGTTAGCTAGACACCACTAGACTGAGGTCACAGAGACTAGTGACTTTTACCAACACCTGTCTTTTACCTACCCTGGATTCACTGCTCTGGATTTTCTCAATAGGGAAACTAGATTCCTAATGTGTCAATTCTACTCCTATCTCTGATTCCTGAGGTATAAATGGACATTCCCAGCTTTGTTTTTTTGGGGGGGGGGCAGGGCAGGTAAGAGAGGGGAAAGAAAGTTAAAAACAAAAGTACTCATTTCAAATGTGAATCAAATGTGGAACTGGACGTTTTATTCCCACACAGAAAAAGGAATATTAAGCCATAAAGAATTATAGAATGATTATAATCTATGAAAAAGGCATATTCGTGCCTCCAAAAGTCATTTGTGAAAAAAGGGCTTCTTATACTTCACCTCCACTGATTATAACTCAATTAATGCCAACTGGGCTCTCTCTTCCCTGAGGTCTCTTTCTCTTTGGATTACTCCCTCTCAATCTGCATATGAAATTTTATGTCCTGTCTTGTTCCATTAACAATGCCCTGATGCCTGAGTGCTGAGGAAGAAAAATATGCTAGTTGCCTTTCCAGATCTCTCAAGGGTTTTTACCAAAGCAAAGAAGACACAAACAAGTCCCAACCCAGGCTTGCCTATGTCTTGATAGAATTCAATAAAGACAAACTGAGGTACAGAATCTTGAGCTTTATCAGTTTATTAGCAGAGCACAAACTTGTTAATAAAGTGTGTCAAATGTCTACTTCAGTTAGGCCAATGACCCAGAGGAGGAGGTACAGCTCCTTTTTATAAGCATAGAACAAAGAACAGAACTGGGTAGATGAGGAAGATAATGCAATTGGTGAGGACAACATGATTGATTGGAAGCTGGGAATGAAGAAAGTGGACCAGACTTCTTTGTATAACAAATCAGACATTCTTGAAGAATGGCTTGGTGGTGTAAAGATACTAGACCAGACTCCTAGGCATCTACTTGCATCCCTCAAGGATAATAGAGTTTCTTTAGAATGGTGATTAACAGGAGAACTGAATTTCTAAACAGCTCATAAGCAAAAAGACAAAGAAATGTGGTTTGAGCAATCAGACCAAATGGGGCTGTACAGAATAGGATTAATTATAGAATAGAATCGAATCAATAATAAAATGATACAAAATCAACTTAATTTTTTCACCTGGAAGGACCTCCTGACACTTCAAGACTTAGCCTGAGGTGTATAAATTTCCCCTTTAATATATTCATGGAGTTCCAGCCCCACCAACAAGTAAAGAGCTATCATAACTGAAAGGGGGTAGTCAGAGGGACTGGGTGGTGGAATTGGGGGTGGTAGCCCCTCCATCATGCATGTCCAGCAGCAGGCTAACCCCAAATTTCCATGTAGCTGAGTGGAATACTGATTGAACGTGGTCTAAGATGTGGGGTGGGCTGAGTACTACATATATGTAACAATATGCCACATGCATATGTGTGTATATCTTGGACACATTGCCAATGGACAATGGGTTTGGCTCAGAATTGAAGAAGGGAGTAGGCTGGTTGCCTTTAGCAAATTACAAAACTCGTTTAATGACTCTAAATTTCTTCCTGAAAAAGGGCCATTGATAAGAAGAAAGTCCCCATAAATGCCAGAATACTTATAGTAGCAGTTTTTTTTTTCTTGAGACAGCAAAGAATTGAAAACAAAATGGATCCCCATTGATTGGAGAATGGCTAAAAAATGTGGCACATGAATGTAATGGAATATTACTATGTTGTAAAAAATGATGAATGTGATGAATACAGAGAAGCATGGGAAGATTTACATGAATGATGCAGAGTGAAGTCAGCAGAGCCAAGAAAACTATATATAGACAACAAATAATGTAAATCAAAACAACCATAAAAATTAAAAATTAGTGTTACAAAATTGTAAAGAATAAGTATAGCTGGAAAGAAGAGATCTGAGAAGATATTCCTGCCCCATCTCTTTGGAGAGGTGGGAGGTCCACAAGTGTTGCACATTGTACATACATGACTTTTAAAATATATTGATCAATTATGCCGATTTTTCTTCCTTTTCCTTTTTTGCTTTATTTGTTACAGAGTGACTTTCTGAGAGGAAGAAGGGAAGAGATATTGGGGAAAATTATGGTGATACAAAAAAATAACAAAAAGGCATCAAACTGGAGCTGAAAAGGTTCTTTGAAATATAAATATGGAAATAAAGAGAAAAATGAAAGAAATAATTTTAAGTGAACAAGAAGGGGCTTTTTAAGGGTGAACTATTTACATTGCAATGGAGAAGGATGATATTAAAGGGTTCCTTTACAATCCTACTGGGGGAGTGTTTGGTGGAGTAAAATCTATTATGTCTCAGCTCAACAGCAACAACCAAAAAACAGGGTTAGGTATTATGATTTCAGACAAGACAACAGCAAAAAAAGTTTTCATTGGTCCACCCTGCTGTTAGTGTCTTTCCTTCCAAGGTTATCTTCCATTTACTCTATATTTATCTTATATGTATCTATATACACACATACGTGTGTATGTTATAGTGGGCAGAATTCTGGACTCCATGTAAAAAAGACCTGAGTCCAAATCCTGCCTCAAACACCTACATTATTTTAAACTGTTCAAAGAACCGAGATTGTGTTTAAAATAAATGAGTGATAAACTTACACAAATCCCTTTGACTAAATAATTTTATCTTAAGCATAAACGTAATTTCCTAAGATGTTTCACATTTTGAGGAGCATTTATATAACAGGAAAGTCTTTAAAATAGTAACTAGAATCCTTAATTGTTGAGTCATTTCAGTCGTGTTTGACTCTTCAGGACCCCATTTGGGGTTTTCTTAGTAAAGACACTGGAGTGGTTTAACATTTTTTTTTTCTGCAGCTCATTTTACAAATGAAGAAACTGAGTTAAATCGCCCAGGGTCACACAGCTAGTAAGCGTCTAAGTTCTGATTTGAACTCAGAAAGAAGACTCTTCCTAAACTCTAACCCTGGACACGATATCCACTACTTATTAGGCACCTTCCCCGAGCCTTTCTAGGCAGCGGAATCTCTCTCTCTCACACACACACACAGAATGAAGTAATCTCCTCTCTCAAAGACTTTACATTCCTATCATAGATTGCCAGTAGAGACAATAAGCACCATGGATTTCGGAGGAAGGTGTCTCTGGGTAGGAGTAATTGGACAATTTTCTTCAAGTTCTCATTATATATACTCTTGGCGACAATATTCGCACAATGCTGTATTCCAAAGGAGATGACATGCAACATGGGATGATTTTTAATCTGGGTTTTGTTTGTGGTTGAATTTTTAAAAGCAAGCCTGATTGCTTTTAGACTACTTAAATCTGTGTCCCAGTTGAAAATCCTCTGGGTGAGAAAGTGAAATTTAGGCGTTAGGGTGGAGGGGAAGACCAGAGACAGGAGGGGGAAAAGAGAAAGAGAGGGAAGAGAAGGAGCAGGGAAAGGGGTAGGGAGGGTGAGAGAGAAGGAGGAGAGGAGAAAAGGGACATGGGAGGGAAAGTCACTGAGAGTGCTTGGGGAATTAAAGGAGGAAAAAGGGAGGGAGAGGGGAAAAGAAAGGAGGCCTTTTCTTCTAAAATGCTATTGGAAGAAAGGGAAGGGGGTGGGGGTGGGGGGGTCTGTGTGCATTGAAACTCTGCCTGCCCAGCCTAGGTCCGAGGAGATTGGGGCGGAGCGCACAATCAGAACTTCGGGTCCTCAGTTGCAGTCTGGAGCCTTGCCCGGGTCAGTCGTGCTGAGCTGCACTCCTCTGACTGCACACCACCCTGAGCCTAGATCCTCCTTTTGTGCCAAGGTTTCTGTGAACTCTTTACCAGACTTAGCTGACCAGTGCATTAATTTACCATCATGTCTTTTGCCTTAAGCGAACCATCAGAACTGCTTTTCTATGTGAACGGCAGAAAGGTGAGTTAACTGAAGGTGGGCATGAGGGTGGGCTTGACTATGTGCTTGAAGATGGGAAGGAAAGGAGGGAACAAATATTTATTACATGCCTGTTGTGTGCTAAGCACTTTATAAATATTTCATTTGACCCTCGAAACAAACCTGGGGTGATATTGTTATCCCCTATTTTACAGTTGAGGAAACTGAGGCATACTAAGTATTTGAGGCTGGTTTTGAACTGAAGTTTCCTGAATCCAGGGCCAGCGCTCTAAGTAGGGTGCGACCATGCTACCCATACAGATCTATATCTCTATTGAGATGGATAGAGGAATAGATCCATATAGACCTATTGATATATAGATAGATAATTTTATTTCAATATAATTCGTTTCCTTTGTAACAAAGTCTTTTAAAAAGCTGTTCAGCACAACTAACCAACAACACTAAGTGCGACAGTCAATGGAATGTTCTACGTCTACAGTTTCCTGCCTCTCCCTCCCCCCCCCAAAAAAAAGAGGGAAGTGAATTTCACATATCCTCATTAGGGCCAAACTTGGTTATATTTACAAAGCACAAAGTGTTTTTTTTTTTCCCCTGGTGGTTCTTTCTAGTTACATTGTTATAATTATTATGTTTATTGTTTTCCTGGTTCTTCTCTTACTCCGTATCAGTTTGCATAAATCTCTGCAGACTTCACTGAGTTTTCCATAAGCTTCATTTTTATAGCACGGTATTATTACATTATATTTGTTATAGTTTGGCCAGTCTCCAGCATCTTCTTTGTTTACTACTGCATATCAGCCAAAAGTGTTGCTATGAATGTTTAAGTGTATATGAGACCTTATTGTCTTTGACTTCCTTGTAGTATATGCTTAAGCAGGGGGGATATCTGGGTAAAAGGGCATGAGCATTTTTGTTACTTTCTTAATATAATTTGAAATTGCTTACCAGAATGGTTAGACCAATTTATAACTCTAGCAACAGGAGCTGTCTTTGTGCAGTGCCTCCAACCATTGAACTCTTCTATCTTTTGTTATACTTGCTAATTTGCTACCTGTCCATTTAAAAGGAGGCTTCTTATTAATTAACTAAGCTAGATTTGATTGTTGGGAACTTCAGACAGTGTGATTAAGTGAAATGAACGCTTTCAGGTAATGCAGGGAAAGTATTAATAGGAGGACACTTATTGGAATAATCATTTGCTGTGTTTAAGACTAGCCTCAGGAATTATTGTTCTACTTTATGAAGGGGGAAACTGAGTCACAGAAAGGTTTAAGTGACTCCTCTAAATCAAATATCAAGTCTTTAACTGATAGTCTAATTCATCATATAGTATCCTACTATATTATGCTGTAGTTTTTTTTTCTTTAGAAGCATTTTCCTCCTCAAAAAACTGTTCTTCCAGGGCATTGTATTGCATCTAGGTTGCAAAATGTTTGTGTAATGTTGATTTTCAAAGTAAATATATAAAGTAGATTCAGGGCTAATTATACCTAATAATAATAACTCAATTTATATCACACCTTAAAGTTTACAAAGAATTTTATAAATATTTTCTCATTTTACCCTCACAACCTCCTTAGCAGATAAGTGCTATTATTATCTCTGTTTTACGGAGGAGGAAAGTGAGGCAGACAGAGGTTAAGTGAATTGTCCAGGGTTGCACAGTGATGATCTGATGTCAGATATGAATTCAGTTCTTCCTGACTTCAGGTCCAAAACTCTATCCTCTGTTCTACCTAGCTGCTTCAGTCTCTTGGCATTTAATCAAAGTATACTTGTTTGGAAAGGAAAACATTGTCTTATTTATTTTTATTATAAAGATAAAGATACATTTCTTTTTATAAGATTATAATTCTTATTAAGGCTGATTTAAAATTGTTATTTTATCATTCCCCTTGATTAAATTGGCAAGTGCAGTTTCTAAAACAAATTCCTACCTACATGTTGATTATTATTGATAGACATAATATCATTGGTATGGGAATCCCACAAATGGAAGATATCTCCCTTATAATTCAATCAGCAAGTCTTAAGAGCAGGAGTTACTAACCCTTCTTTGCATCATGGACCCTTTTGGAAATCTGGTGAAACCTATGAGCCCCTTCTCAGAACAATTTTTTTAAAAATAATAATTGGAAGAAGTACTAAATTTCACTTAAATGGTAGTAGAAATAAAGATGTAATTCTTTCTCCCTCTAAGTTAATAGACCCCCTGAAATCTAATGATGGATTCAAGTTAAGAACCCATATCTTAGAGAATCCTTGGAGATTCAGATAGGTTAACTGTTCCAAATAGTTATGTAGTATCAGAGGCAAGATTGAGCCCAGCCAACAGCCAATAGGCTGTCAATTCTTTTTAAATGTTAAAAATGTAAATATGAGTTATTTTGGGAGAGCAGATTTCAAAGGATTCAGAAAAGGATAGATAGAATCAGGGGAAATCAATTCAGGAGAAATGGGAAGCTCTCAAGAATGAAGTTCTAAAGACAAAATGACAGAAATAATAGTGGCGGGTGGGGGTGGGGGGAGAAGAGAATGATGCGGATGCTACCTGGATGCACCAGAAGCATTACCCATATAATGAAATGCAATATCTTATATTCTGTTTAGTTAAATCAATACTGGTGAATCCTTTCAATGTCCCAGTTACCTAGTAGCTAAACATATAGTCTCCTTACCCAAATGAAACTTTAATTCAAACTTTTGCTCCCCCAAAGCAGATGCCAAAGTAGGTAATAATTGCTCCCCTTGAAAATTTGTGTCTCGGAATAGCTTTAGAAGCTTTCTTCTTTTGGCAAGTTTTGATTTAGTAATCTGTGACCCTGGATCATGTTTTAACATAAATCTCTTATTTTTTCTCCTTGGTTCAGGTAATGGAGAAGAATGCAGATCCTGAAACAATGTTGTTACCATATTTGAGGAAGAAACGTATCCTTTCATTCCATCTGTGCCTCTTTGTGTGTCTGTAATTAAAGTAAACTTATTTTACAGAGTTTTATATCAAGCACTTAAAAAAAATTGGTAGCATCCCTCTGCTATTACCCTCCTACCTCTCCTAATAGCTATGAGATCCTGGGCAAGTCACTCAACTTCTCTAGGCCTCTGTTTCCTCATCTGTAAAATGAGAGCGTTAAATTTGATGGCCTCCAAGATCTTCCAGTCTAAATCTAAGATCCTATGATCTTCTGAACAACAAAATCCCAGTTCCAGGCTGCAAGCTTTCTCTTCCCTTGAGGGCTACTTTCCCCTTTTTTCTCTTAATGACTACCCTTGTGGATCAGTCCCCCCATTTGTAAACTGATAGTCTTCATTTCACCCTCATAGGTACATGGTGTTAGAAAAGTCCAAGAGCAAATCCTTGGGCCAATTCTTAGAAATTTTCCTGCCTCTTTCAAAAGTACACAGAAAATGTCTACTAGTCAGGTTCGTTTCAATTTGACATACATTTATTAATCATTTACTGTATTCAATGCATTGTCTTGGGCACTTGGAAGGTACAAAGTTGAAATGAGACATAATCTTTTCCATGTGAAGATTATAGTTGGGTAGAAAGATATGACCTGTAATGCAGAATAACACAGAATAAATGTAACACAGTGGTACAAAAATGAAAATCTTACATGTACACTGGAGTTTAGATTTAGAACTGGAAAGGACCTTAGATGTAATCTAGTCCAAGGCTCTCATTTTACAGCTGAGGAAACTGAGACAAAGAAATGTTAAGTGACTTGCCCAAGGTCACACAGGTAGTAAGTAGCAGAGTCAGAATTTGAACCCAGGTGCTTTGTGAAGCTCAAAAGGGGAGAGGATGTTACTGATTGAGAGGGTCAAGGAAGGCTTCATATAGGAGGTGACATTTGAATTGAGCTTTAAAGGATAGGTAGACTTTCTTCCTGGGTCAGTGGAGGGATAATGTGCAAGGAGGAAGAACAATTATCTATTAACAAACAATGACTTCTACCAACTTGCTGTGTGACTTTGGCCAGTAACATGAGGATTGGACTTTGATTAAAGGACCGTAGATTTATAGCTAGAAAGGTCCTGGATGTCATTATACAGATGAAAAAACTGAGACCCAGAGAGGTCAAATCACTTTCTCAAGGTGATACAGGGTAATAAATAGAAGGGTCAGGATTCAATCCTAGGTTCTCTGACTCCAGTGTTCTTCCTACTGCATCAGTGATCTAGTAGGCTGAGTGGAAGAGTGCTAGATTCAGCATCAGGAGACCTGGGTCTGAATCCCACCTTAGAAATTTGTTAGCTCATTAGATTACTGTAAGTAAGACAACTAGCAAGTCACTTAAACTCTGAGAAGCTCAGTTTCTTCATCTGTAGAGTGGGGATAAAAGAACTTGCATTACTTACCTTACAAAGCTGTTTCTGGAAAAAAAAATGCTTTGTAAACTTCATTCACATTTTAAAACTATACTTCATAGAAACGGTCCTGGGACATCTCCATTCCACAGTTAGGTCTCTGGAGGCAGCTCGGTGGCACAATACATAGAGCACAGGGCTTGAAGTCAGGAAGACCTGAATTCAAAGCTGGCCTCAAACACTGGCTGTGTGACCCTGGGAAAGTAATTTAACCCCTTGTATGCCTTAGTTTCCTCAATTGTAAAATTGGATAATAACTGCACCTACCCCTCAGGGTTGTTGTGAGGATCAAATGAGGTGATACTTGTAAAATCTTTAGCACAGTTCCTGGTAAATAGTAGGTGCTTAATAAATGCTTGTTTCATCTATCCACCAAGGTTCTAGTTCTGTCTTTGACACTTTTCAAGATGTATGAAGTGGAACAAAAGAGAATACAAATACTTCAGTTGACTAGAGCTATGAGAATTAAAGCAATGAATTATAGAGGACACACTAGTCAATATTTTAGAACAATTGAAAAACAACATTTAAAAAAAGTCCAAGAGAACTATTCATTGAAACGAGACCACCAAGAGAGTAAAACATCCTCATAAGGGGAAAGGAGGAAGAAAATTAGAGAACAGCCTCTAAAGAAGAAAGTTAGATTTGTATTTATGGTTACTATTTGATATGGATAGTTCTTGAAATGTGTGAAAATATTATCAATCAAAACAAAGAGCTGCTTAAACTGAACAACACTATAATGACCAAGCTTGATCCTGATGAGTTGAAAAAATGCACCTCTTTTTCCTGTTTTCAGAGGTGGTGGATGATGGGTTTGCCATATTGCGTATCCTCTCAGACACTATTGAGTTGTGGATTGGTTACAGTGAACTACTTCTGCCTGCCCCAATATTTCAAAGTTTGTGTGCTAAGGGAGAGCTTGTTGAGCAGAGGACCTGGAATGATCTGTTTGGAAATGAAAGTGTCTTAAAAACAAAAGATATAACTAAAAAAAGATTTAAAAAAAAAAGAAAATAGAATAAATAAGAGTGAGGAAAGATTGCTTTTTAATTTAATGGCATGAGTTTAGAAGTTTTAAAATTACTCCCTATTCTCATGTCAACTTAAAAGAAATCTTTTTGATGAGACTACTCTGTGGATACAGAAAAAGGTATGTGAATGTCCTTGAATTTTTTTAAAAGTAAAGTACTATATAGTCAATCAATTCTCACCTATCAATTATATCAGAGACAGATACTATTGGTAAGAGAACTGATTTGAATTCATCAGGCACTTATTATTTATCTATGAAGTGTACTGTACTAGGTACTAGAAGTGAAGGTATAGATTATGAGTTAGGAGGATAACGGACTAGGAGACTAGGGTGTTTGAGGAGATAGCAACATATATTGAAATCCCTATATAGGAAAGGAGTTGCTGGGATGGTCTGGAAAAATGTGAGCCAGGGTGCTGAACTCCTTGAGAAAGAGGGAGAGAGTTTTGTAGATAATAACTAGGCTCTGGATTGGGTGTTAGAAATGGATGGAATGAATTTGAGAGGAGGAGAGGTTTCTGAGTGAGGTTGCAGCTGAAGGAGGATCTGGAAGTCTCACTGAGGAGGAAGGATTATATTTACTTTTCCCCCTGGTCCTTTGCTTGCATAGGGGGAAGTGATGGAGGATGGTAGAAGATGCATCCAGTCTTGGAGAGGGTGGCTAGAAATGCAGTGTCTTCTGGGGGTGGGAATTGGGGATGAAGAAAATCAATGGCCTCAGACACTTGACGCTAGCTGTGTGGCCCCAGGCAAATCACTTAACCCTGATTGCCTCACCAAAAAGCAAGAGAACAAAACGAAGAAAGTCAGGTTTTGTGAGTGCAAAGGATTAAAGATGTGTGATAGGAAAGGATCTAAGATGAAAAGAAGTTGATTAATCACAGAGGAGGGTTCTAGAGGGTATAATAGGAAGGTAAGGCACAGCCATGCTGGAGTTTTGAAGGGATAGGGCTGATATGAATGAGACTGAGAGAGTCTGGAGGGCTAGCAGCAGGAAGCTGTTTCCACCTAGGCATCCCTTGATTCCATGTTGAGGAAAGGGAGGTAGTTTGCTAACCACAGAACATTAGGTTGTCACTCCTCCCTAGACAACAATGATATCTTTCAGGGGTCTGTAGACCCCTGATTGAGATGTTGATTTGATTTTCTCCCTCTGGGAGTCAAGACAAATAACAAATAATAAAACCACTTACATCTCTTTGTCTTTGGGACAAAGTTATAGACATACAGCTTAAGATTCAAACACAACCAAACTCAGATGATTAAATATCATAGGCTTCTCCCTCTACCAGCCTAATAGTACTGCTTGGTGGCTGCCTGGGATTGATTTGCAGAAGAAGAGGAGACTCTAGATTAGTCAGAAAGATAATCAAAAGTTTATTATGTAGTCTGTTGCCAGTTAATAGCAACCAAGAAGCCTACCCCCCTCCCCAAAGTCAAACCTCTTGAGTTTCAGCTATAGGACTGGATATAAAAACTTGTTTTAGTCAGAATTTAATGAAATAATTCAAAGAGAAAAGCATCAGAAAAAGGGTTTTCTTTGACTACTGCCTTTCAGGTCCGTCTGACAGGGACAAAATATGGCTGTGGAGGAGGTGGCTGCGGAGCTTGCACAGTGATGATATCAAGATATGACCCATGGACTAAGAAGATAAGGTATCCTTCCTCAGAGTCCTGAAAATGAAAATCAGGAATGATTTCATTCTTGGAGATGAAAAAAGTTAACTTTTATCATTTGGAACTTTTCTTCTGTCATGGATATATAGGGCTATGATAGCAGAAATGATAAAAACTGACATTTGCATAGTACTTAAAGTTTGCAAGCAGCTAGGTGGCCCAGTGGATAGAGTGTGGGACATCTTCTTGAGTTCAAATCTGGCCTCACACACTTACTAGCTGTGTGACCCTGGGCAAGTCACTTAACCCTGTTTGCCTCAGTTTTCTCATCTGTAAAATGAGTTGGAGAAGGAAATGGCAAACTTCTCCAGAATCTCTGCCAAGAAAACCCCGAATGGGATCAGAAAAAGCCAGATATGGCTGAAAATGACTGAACAACAATAAATTAGGATGTAAACTCATCCATTGTAGGCTTTCTGAAAACTTCTTCAGTCTAACTTCAGTAGCAGACAGGACAACAGCAATAATAATATATACCTCATCCTGCTCCCAACATGATTTACACCTGCTAGGTCAAGTTTTTGTTTTGTGTAGCTTCAAAATTATGGATATTTGGGATAGTGGCATCTATTAAAACCAATGTTCTTACATTTTTTTTTAAACTCAGTGTCATGTCTAGATAATTGTGAGCAAGAGTTAGATCTGGAATGATAGTTTGATTCCTGTCAAGTTTGTTGGTTGTATTTTCTAGGATGTTTTGAAGTCTGTCATTATAATCTGGTGACTTGTTGCATGGCTGTCCATGAAATACAGCATGTTTCAGATGTCTATTTCTGATGATTAGGTCATTTTTGCTAGGTATTCAATACCTACTAAACTTTTGTAGCCTGCAGTAATTTGTTGCACAGTCTTCGTCATTTCCTTGCATAATCTATACTGATTACAAAATCTATTCTCTTTAAGGATAACCTTCTGGTAATTTCTGGTGGCAATGACCTACTCCTAAATTGCTATCACAAATCTTTCTATTTCCACAAACATATCTACATGACTCAGCCTTTTTTTATAAGATTGGCTCAACCTGTTGTTGACTGAGTTCATACAAGTGTTACCAATGCCTTTTGATTCCACTCTTGGGTCTTGGTTGCTTTGTATATTCCATCCAGATTTAAGCCACTTGTGATTATAGATGAAATATTTAATAATGCTCTTATTATCAGCCTTTGCTATTGATCAGTATGTTAATATCTACTTATTCTGAAACTATTTTTCCAAGTTTTTGACCTCTTTATCATGTTTTCTGAGAAATCATGTTGGGAGCAGGTTGAGGTATATATTACTATTGCTGTTGTCCTGTCTGCTACTGAAGTTATACTGAGGAAGTTTTCAGAAAGTCTACAATGGATGAGCTTATGTCCTAATTTATTGCTGTTCAGTCATTTTCAGCCATATCTGGCTTTTCCTAATCCCATTTGGGGTTTTCTTGGCAGAGATACTGGAGAAGTTTGCCATTTCCTTTTCCAGCTCATTTTACAGATGAGGAAACTGAGGCAAACAGGGTTAAGTGACTTGCCTAGGGTCACACAGCATGGAAATGTTCATCTTTCTATAGTTGCATTATTGTTGTTGTTGTCATTGTTGGGCTTGTTGGGTTAGACATATCAATCAGTTTATCTACAGGGAGGAAAATAACACCCAAATTTTGTCTTTGGCCCATTTTCTCCCTACCTAGTGCTTTGACTAGAAGTTGGAGATAAAACTGAGCCGAAACAATGAATATGCAAGGTTGACTGCTTAGAAATAGGTGTCATTGTAAGCTGTTTATAATATGATGATATCTGGGTACCTGCTCAAAGGGCAAATGAAATAAATAAAGGCAGGGGAAAGCACAGCTAGAAAAATATGATTTTTAAGTAGAATTTGGTTAGCAACTCCATTCACACAAAGCAATTAAAATTATCACCTAGTTTTTCATAGAAGGAAAGTTCATCTATTTTTCTCTTTTATATTCTGAAGACATTATTCGGCCAATGCCTGCCTGCTTTCCATATGCTCTCTGTTTGGGGCTGCTGTCACCACAGTAGAAGGCATAGGAAACACCAAAACCAGGATTCATCCAGTGCAGGTGAGAGTCTATAGAGCATATTTCTTGCTTCTTCCACCATTGGTGCTTTGATACTTTCATAAAGCCCCAGTTTTGGTAGATATTCCTTTCATTGAAACCTTACCATGTTTTCTTAGCCCTTATGATTCTTGTCTATTGCACTTCTACAAATTTTCCATAGAGGATCTACCCTATGCATCAGGGGCCTTCCTTTTGTTCCTTTCAGATACTGAGTGATCCAGTGTACCACCTGGTTAGTCTATCTTTTTTCTTTCATTCTCAATACACAACTAGTCTACCTACCTACCTACCTTTCCATCCACACATATTGTGACTTGGGTTAAAATGTTGACTGTCACTTATTATTTGTGTGACCTAAGGCAAGAAGCAGGATTTGAACACTGGTCTTCCAGACTCCAAGTCCAGCACTCTATCCACTGCACTGTTTATTTACATATAGGCCAAAAGGCTATGCATAGGAAAAAGGCCCATAAGTAGATTAAGCCCCTGATCCTGCCTAACAAAGAAGAACAAATCAAAGTTCTCTTCTTACAGACAGTGAATCAGTAGCAGCATGTTTGTATATGAAGGATGATACAAATGTTCCGATTAAATTACTTGCATTGACAGTAACTTGTGTTGTGACTACTACAGTACTAACAGAGTGTTCATATTGATGAGTATTTGTGAACTAGTAATCACACTTTCAGTTCTGTAAGTCAATGGTAGAAAGGAGGAATCAATGATACCATAGGTTTTAAGTGGGACTCCCTGCTGTCTGTTATTCTAGGAAAGAATTGCCAAATGCCATGGGACTCAGTGTGGATTCTGTAGCCCTGGAATGGTGATGTCTTTGTACTCTCTTTTGAGAAATATTCCAAAACCCTCCATGGATCAGCTAATGGAAGCTCTTGGAGGTAGGTATTAATTCAATTTTCTTCAAGACTATTTTTAGAAATAGCTTAGTCTACATCTGAGCTATCATCTACATCTTCTACATCTCAGTTGCAGAAGATCGGGAGCTAGAGAAATTCTATGAAGAACATATTAAGACCATCCTAACTAAGTCATCATCTGCTTTTTAATTTGATGAAATCAGTGCAAAGGTGGGCATAAGAGTGAATAGTGAGAAATATGTTGGAAAATGTGGCTCAGGATTAAGGAACAAAAACATTCAAAGGCTTATAAACAGAAGCCTAATGCTTATATGTCATAAATACTTTCTTCAATAGGTAAGCACTAAATGTGAGAGAGATATCAAATAACTTTACAAAAAACAAAATTAAATACATCTAATCAGACAGGAAATGATCAAAGTAGTAGTCATTTTGAATCAGATCTCAATGTTCAGTTAGATCATCAATGTGTTAGAGAAAAGAAAAATGCACTAACAGCAAAATAGAAAAAGAATGAAAATGCAAAACTATGTTATATAATTGCAACAAGTTCAACTTGACCTGCTTTAAACATGTTGTTCATATAAAAATGAGAATTATACCTAAAATTGTGGTCAGTAGGACGCTGAGGAAGGAACTGGAAGAAATCTGCAAATGTGAAATGAAAAACCTCTATTAAATCCAGGTTGATGAAACTAACTTTTTGACTTTATCATAACTGATAAGGGAGCCTTCAAAATCAAAATCAGCTTCACACTAGGGTATCCTTTCAAACTACTTAAGGTCACATTTAAACATCTTTAGCATTGAAGGAAAAGGAGATAACTGCCTCTAGTTAGTGCTAAAAACTGGAAAGCAGAAACCCAAACTGACCCAAGTCATTCAGTACTCTAATAGCACTGGTGAATAACGCCCCCCCCCCCATCACCCCACCCCCGTCCCGCCCTGCCCAGCATAGTTTTTTACTTTGGACAGACCTAACTGAAGAATCCTCTAATAATAAAAAATTATGTAAGAATTTTGGTTTACAAAGAACTATGAAAAAAAGTGACTCATGGACTAAAATTTTCCATGATTAATTCCAACAAGTATGACTGGAGACTCAGAGCAGTAGATTTCCTTTTTTTAAATAATATTTTATTCCCCCCCAATTACATGTTAAAACAA